TAAATGTCTCTTTATAGTCAAGACCCTCCTTTTGATTTTTACCCTTTACCACAAGCCTAGCTTTATATCTTTCTACTATACCATCAGCATTGAGTTTAACTTTATAAACCCATTTACACCCAATTGTATGTGAACCATGAGTTCAAGGTACAACTGTCCATGTCCCATTGGCTTCTAAAGCATCTAATTCAATTTGCATTGTATTGATCCATTGATCATATTGAATGGCTTGATGATAATGATTTGGTTCTGGAATTTTAGTCAGTAAGATGGTAAAAGCTTTATGTGAATGTGAGAGTTGCTGTGGTGATAAGTATTGGGCGATGGGAAGGTTTGTGACACTGTTAGCATGGGAAGGTAATTCACAATCATAAGCTTCAAGGTATTTGGGTGGTTTAATGACTCTAGAACTTTTCCTAAGAGTAGGGTTAATGACTCTAGAACTTTTCCATAGACTCTAGGACCTTATATAGTTTGTGAAGGAATTTATGTATACACAGCGCACAAAAGACAAATCACATGTCTAAACCCAAACCAAATTAAAATAAGCCATCCAACCTAATTATTTTAAATCAAATTAATGGCATTTAATTTATTCACCAATGTCAATGATAACTAGCTTGGGTTTAAATTGATGTATTTAATTTAATAATAAATATATGTACCACTTGTTCAAAAGTCAATTTTGAATCTTTCTTCTCTCCCAAATTTTACTTATAAAAAAAAACAAATTTTACATAGTAGTCAAACCATATCAGAGCTTATTGTTAATTATTATACTATCATTTACTTTTCTTGATAATTTTAAAAATAAATATTTATATGTTTGATAATGTATTAAAAATTTTCTAAATTATAATATTTTACAAAAAATATTTGGCTAAAAAGAAAAAAGAAAAATATAGAAAGAAATATTAATTAAGCATAGAAATTTACTTATCATAATTGTTTAGTAAGAGCATTATGTAAAATATTTTTAATTATAATAGTATTAAATAATTCATAAATTAATATTTGTACAAAATTTCAATTATTTGAGCTTCAAATTTTATAACTTAAATATATATATTTATCTATAATCATTATTTAAAAGTAAAAAGTAAATATTCATGTACAACCATATGATAACAAACTCAAGTATAACAAATTTAAATACTATGAAGACACTAGAGTTACTCAGAAGAACAACAAATTAAGAAGGGAATGATAAGGGACAAATTTCGTTCTTTACACTATGGTTGGTAGGAAGGACGAAAATGGAGGAAAGGGAAAAACGTGAGTAAAGAAAAATGGAAGGGAGGAAGGAAAATCATATTTCTTTTTTTGTGTTTGGTATGTGTGATACCCCACGTCTTACATCAAATATGAATATGATTGTTAAAACTTATAGAACAAGCTAAATTCATCACTACTAGTAACTTGAACTTAAGCTTTTGAAGATCACGCGGTTTAAGTTCAAAAAGTTACTGGATCATTGGTTGAACTTAGATCATTACAAATGGTATTAGAGCCTATGCTACCTCAATGTGGGCTTTCACTTTACTCTGATGAGATCTTAGACTTGTGGATGTGATGTGTGGCTTTGATGAGGGTATCAAGGATTTGAGTGAGTGGGATTGTGATATCTCACATCCCACATCAGATATGAATATAATTGTTAAGACCTATATAACAATCCAAATCCATCACTATTAGTAATTTGAACTTAAGCTTTTGAGAATCAAGTGATTTAAGCTTAAAAAGTTACTAGGCCCAGTGGTTGGACTTAGATCGTTACATATCAAAGATGAAAAATAAAGGAAAAGAAAGGGATTAAGGGTAAAATTATTAATTTAAGAGAAAAGGATTTTTCCTCTCAATTTGGAACCATTGAATTTGGATGGAAGGAAAAGAAGCAAATCTATAACATTGGGCATTCCTTAATAAATGGATCTGGCATTATAGTGATGAAACGAACAACTTTTGGAGAGTTGTTATACAGAAGAAAAATTGTGAAAATCCCTCTGAGCTTGTTCCCCATATGAGAGTGTTACAAACCTTTTAAAATGTGGAAAAATGTCCTTTTTCACTTTCTCTAGCTAGTAATTACTTTAGTGTTTTATCTGTAAGTATGAGCATTGTAATAGGTGATGGAAACAATATTCGTTTTTGGCATGACAAGTGGATTGATGGTACATTAATTAAAGATGCTTTCCTAGGTATTTCGCTCTTTCTATCAACAAGTTAGGGATTTTGAGTGAATTTGGCTTTTGGGAAAATAATGAGTGAAAACAGGACAGTCAACTTCGATGAAATATTTTTGATTAGAAAAAAAACCAATGGAACTTTCTATTGCAGACTATTGGTGAAACTGTTTTAGGAAGCACTCTTTATCATAAATTTGCTTGGAAGGGCATAGTTAGTGGTTCGAATTCAACTAAGTCCTTTTATGAGACTATAGTGGATAACATTGGGAATAAAAAAAGTTTGTGGAAAGAAGTGTGGGTTAGGTTAGCTTCTATTGAGGTAAAAATTTTTAATTGGCAAGTTTTACATCAAAGCCTAGCAGTGAAAAATGAGCTGATTAAAAGGGGTTTTTGTTCGTAAATGCTTTTGACATATCTTAAAGATGAAAAAATAAAAATTTCGACTGTAAGATTTCAAGTTGTTTTATTTTGTTTTCAAGTTTCTTATTTCATCACAAATCTTTGTTAATTTAATTAGTTCTTAATTACGATATTTAGAGTAAAGTATATAATACTTGAACTTATAGGTGTTCATAACTAATTTGAAAATTATATGAAAAATACAAACAATTGATTTGAGGGATTCAACTGATTTTTTTAATTAAATGTATCTTTTATTTTTCCGCTGTGTTATGCTTTTAATCTCTTGATTAATTTCATGTTTGAATATAAAGCCAAATCTCAGCAGTTTTATGAATATTGAAGCTGTATGCTATGGATTATGTATGAGAGAAATGGAAACAACGGATCATTTGTTTTTTCAATGTGAGGTTACTTGGAAGATTTGGGCTACATGGTGTGGTATTTTAGGGATCAGTTGGATCAGTTCGGGCAATGCTTGTTCGTTCTTTTCAGCTTGGAATGGTGTGCATTTTGACAAATTAGGAAGAAATGAGGTGTGGAAGATGGGATATTTGCAATACTTTGGTCGATATGGTTGCAAAGAAACAAGTTGGTATTTAATGAAAAAAGGTGGGACAGTATCCAAGTTTTCGAACTTGTTAAGGTTAGAATGTCACGGTGGACTAGATCTAAGTAGGAAGAAGAAACCAGGTCCTTTCTAGATATTTTCAGAGCCCCGCAGTAGATCACTTTGAATACAAAAGCTCTAAAGAAAAAACACATTGCTGAGTTGAAAGCTCCTGATCAGGGTCAGCTCAAATTTAATACTGATGGGATTGCTAGGGGAATCCCTAGAGAATCTAGCATCAGTGGTGTTCTTAGGGATTGTCAAGGTAACATTCTTATTTCCTTTTGCACAGCCATTGGTATGGGAGATGCTAACATTGCTGAACTTTTTTCTATCAAAGAAGCTCTTCTCATCTTTGTAGCCACTAGGTGGATCGATCATCACCTTGTCTTAGAAAGTGACTCCATTACGGCTATCAAGTGGGTTGAGTATCCTGATACTGCACCATGGAAACATAGGAAACAAATTCCTAACATCATTAACCTGATTAGTAAGCTTAAAGAATGGCATATTCAAATCCTAGATCCGCAAATAATGTTGCGGATTCTCTTGCCAAGGAAGGGGTTGAAAGAGAGATTGATATGCGGATGATCAATCACGTTGATGAAAGTTTTTAACGGGTGACTTCTATCTTTGGTCTTAGCTTCTGTTTCTTTCTTTCTTGGGTTGTTTGAGGCGTGTCACCTTTGGATCTGTTTCCATTTTCTTGGTGTTCTGGTGAGATTTTTTGTGATCCTATTTTGAGTTGGGTGGATTTTTGCGCTTGCCTTTTCATTTCTCCTGCTGAGTCATTTTTGCTGAATTCATCTGGTTTGATGTGGAGTGGTGGTAGTCTTTTGAGTCTTCTTTGGCTCTTTTGACTGGCGTGGTTGGTGCTCTGATTTGTGCTAATGTGCTTCTTGAGGATGGAAAGGGGTGGGAATCCAATTTATGGCTGGTTCATGTTTTTTTTCTTTTATTTTCCTGAACTTTCTATGAATTGCTCTTTTTTGTCAGAAGTCTGTCTACCCTTGACTAAGGACTTTATGCCACATGTTTGGATATTTTGGTTTATGAATATACATTTATCGCCTTTCAAAAAAAGAAAAAAAAACACTGATTGAGTATTGCCTGTACTACCATTTTTAGGGATAGAGGGTGCTCTGCATTCTCATTCTCACCCTTTAAAGCATGTGCATAGGACAACCTACCACTCTGTAGTGAGTTCTGCTCCTTGGTACTTCTTTCAATTTCTCTTTTTCCGTGTTCAATGACATGTCTTGACTCCACTCTCTAATCTACACTTTGTTTCTTCCAATATGAATCCTTACCATTGAATCTTACAATGTTGACACCCAGCCTATGATTTTAATAAACAAGCTCCTTTCAGTCCAGACATTGCTCTTCTAGCATCAGAGAGAAGCGATCCTATAGAACAAAACCAAATTTTCTCCCACTCTTGCTTCTTCTTTCACAATACATCTAGAACCTTGCCGAACAGTTGAAAAATTCTCCTCAGCCATCTCTAATGAACTTTAAAAGGAATACTATTGACAAAAACAGAAGTTGTCTTCGAAATTCGTGCCATCATCACACAATATTTCTCTTAGTCTCATAGAATTTGTGTATTTATTTATAAAATGAAGTTTATATTTATGATTGTTAATTGTAGTCGGAAAATATTATTACCATATTTTTGACCACTCTCAATTGACGCCAATATAGATTAATGATTAACTCGTGCGCATCAAATTAACAGCAAGAAGTTATAAGTTTGATATTATAACAAATCATTAGAACATGAGGAGTATCCATTGTAGCACAAAATGAAGAAGTTTGTTGCTTTAATATGGTTCTGAGAACATAAAAATATAACCATTAAACAAACATACGCACGACATAGGTTTAGAGTGGAACCGTGGGGCTGGAGGGAGTCTGGCCCAAAAATGGGTGGTTCAAAGATAGAAGCTTGAAATGAGAGAAATAAGCTTTAGCCTGGCCAATGAAATTGGTTGAGCTTAATGGCATTACTTTTACATGGTAGATTTAATGAAAGTGGAATTACTTCGACTACCAGCTGGATCATCTTTCAACATTCTATTCAACTCTCTAACAAATCTTTCCATAGCCGAAGCCGGTAAGTAAATTGGCACCACAAGTCCATCTTCCCCTTTCTTATTCCTGTGAGGTATTTGAAAGCTTGCCACCACTCCTTTGGCAGGTCCACCGTACATGGCCTTACCCCATCCGAAATCAACATCGTAAAGCTTGACATGTCTTGTATCTGAAACTAGGTAGACTCGAACCAAGCTAAAGGGTGGCCGACCATTCGTCGCCAAAAAATCCGCCACCGATTTCACATACTCTTCAGTCACACTTTCCTTGGTTTGTTTCACAAGCTCTATTGCGTATCCTAGTGGGTTTTGGCATAATTGTCCAGCAGTTGTTACAGCTACAGGATACACGATCGCATTCCCGTAATATCCCTTTGGCAATGGAGGATTAAACTTGGAGCGTACATTGACAATGCAAAGCAAGCGAACTTGTTCATCAGGGTCGAATTGTAAGGCAAGTGTCCGGCAACGCCATAAGCAAGCAGTTAAGACTTCAAATGTGGAACAATGGTGAAGATGCAAAGGAACAAATCTACGGATGGCGGATATGTCAGAGGGATTGAAGAAAAATGAGTGATGAACCATGTTTTCCGATGGGGTGAAGTTTGTACATGATTTTATATCATCTACTTTGTCGTATTCATGGTGCGTGCATGTGACTTGTGGAGGGGTTCGACAACTTAGGAGATGCCTTTCCCACACAGGTAGGATTGAAGGAGAGATTGCGCCTTGTGCCATCTCAGCCATAGCGGAAATGAATTGGAATAGGCCAGCACCATCACTCATAGTGTGGTTGACTCGAAGGGCAAAGACGATACCACCGCATTTCATCCTTGTAACCTTGCATAAGAAATATTGAATTAATGTTATTTTGATGTAAGTGTATTATTTTATATTTTCTTTTAATAAAAATAAATACCTATTAATTATTAGAAATAATTACGACTTCAGCTTTGAAAAATTATTAGTTTCCCCGAAAGAGGTAACGCCTAAATTTCCTAATTTTTGACTGAATAACACTATCCCAAAAATTTCCTAATTGTAGAGTAGAGAACAGGAATTTTTTTAATAAAAAAATAGAAAACAACTTTAAAACTAGGAAAATGACCCCAAACTCTTCATGGTTCAATTTTTCTTAAAATCTTGATCATAGCTTGGAGTAACAAACAAATTAATACCTGGATCAACAACAATGGGCAATTTAGCATCCGGCCGGAGCCGGGAACATCGTGTAGGAGCTGATCCAAGCAAGGAAATGGTGGCTGAAGGGCTTCACCAAATTGCTCAAGTTTAACATCTGCATGGGCCTCAATGAACAACACGCCATCGCCAGTACAATCCACCATAAGCTTACCGTTAGGCCCTTCCCTTAGCCTACCAGCAAATGGATAGTAAAACACAAGAGTTTTTCCCAGTGCCTCCCGAATAACCTTAAGCAGGATCCTTCCCTTGCATGGAAGGATTGTACTGATAAAATTGGATAATCGGGATCTGGGTCCGAAGACTCTCTTGGTCATCGATGTCCGATATGGCCGGCTTCACGAGCTCTGGTTCACACCTACGGACAGTGAAGACTAGGGCAGTGGGTTGAGGCACCATGGCAGAAGTGGTTGACATCAAAATCTGCGGTGGGATGGTTGCAGCTATAATCTTCTTCTACAATTGCTTTCTGTGGTCCGTATGAGGTCAAGCATATCTACACTTGCTGGATGTGTAGTACTGGGAAATCAATCAATTAATGCTTGATGCTTTGTCGCATGGATTTTGGTATTATCAGGAAGGGCCAATGATGTAGGGTGCTCAAAAAATTCTTATTAATGTATTAATTAAAATAATCTATATAAGTAGCTAAACAGTACTGTCATGTTAATGCACTAGGAAAATTATCTTAGTGGGAAGTTTTTAATTAATAAGTGAAGTTAAATGATTAATTGGTATTCAAGGTATGTTTATGAAAATTAATTAATAATCATTTAATCTTGTTTGTGAAAATTAAAAGAATTTTATTTTGACATATAAGATAATAATAATTAATGGAAGTGAATTATCATTTTATATGGTATTTTACATTTTTTTTACATATAAATAGTAAAACTTTCAAATTTTGTAATTAGATGTTTTAAGACTTTTGTGTTTTATAAAAGCATACAATCCTTAAATCCGATACAACCCCTCAAACTCCAATCATTAAGTTGTATTTTTGAAAATTATATCATGAAAAGAAATATATAAATTTTATTAATTTTATAAAATTTTTAACAATTTTATCATATTTAATTTCAATTACATAAAAAATCTAGACTTTGAGGCTTGGGACTGCTAAAGAAAATTAGGCAACGCTATAAAGGTTGTACAAAACATTTAATTTCGTCCACCCTTTATAGATTTGGCTATTTGGGTCCCATCCTTTAGTGGAAAATATTAATGATATATTAATATGTTATAATATGATATGAGCTCATAAAATAAATCATGTATGGTATTATAATACATTGTTGATGTTCCACTTTTACCGACGTTTTATATATAAATATAGGAACAGAAATCCTTTGCTCGTACCTCATTTGACGCCTCTTTTATAATTTTACATCATATATTTTTTAAAATTTTTATATTAAAATTTAAAATTTTGAAATTTAGGATCTTCGATTGGTAGTATAAAATTGAACATGTGACATAAAATTATTGACGAAAACACTAAGTGACAAAAGATTTATGCTCCGAATGCAATGGGAGTTCCTCTTTTTTAAAACAAGAAAACAAATTAAAAAATAAAGAGGATTAAAATTCTATCTACACCTTTGGTGGTTTTAATTTTTTTCACATGACATCTTGTTATTTTTTCTCAATTATATCTTTTGAATATTGTCTCTCTCAATTAGTATTTTCGGATATAATTTTATACTCAATAATTATAAAAATACCTTTAATTGTAAATAAATTGATTAACTTTAAATTAATATTATTTTGATAATTTTACTGTGTCAACAGTATAACCCTATGCGAGAACATCAATAATTCATAGAGCACTAACGATAAAAGCTACATAGTCACATAATGCTAATTGAAAAGAAAAAACCGTAAAATACCATATGGAACAAAATTAAAACCACAAACACATGTCAAATATAAAATCACTATCAGTCCAATTTCAATAATATTTTCCTTTAATTAAGTTTATTTTTTCTTTCCTCTTTTTGTGCTTGCTTCCTATTTGATTTTATTACAATAGTGATAACCCTCCCCCAATGACCCACTTGCCTTTAATCAAATAGTCTTACTATAATTAGTATAAATCAGATGTTCACACACTTTGAAAACGACCCGGCACCTTGTTTCAGTGCTTTGGTTGCTCCATGACTTTCCCCATCTTCGAGTTGTCCATCTTTAATTTTGCCTTTCTCCCTTTTTTTCTTCTTTCTTTAATGGAACTTCTTGAGTAGGACCATTCTTTTCGTTCTATTTAATTAATAGATTAAAATAGCAAATAAAGAATGAATGTATCCTTATGTTCATATCTACGTACCTACCTAGCTACACATATATTATACGTTAATTGGTTTTTATGTCATACATGTATATTATTGTAATCAATGTCACGGTTGAACTCCATTGGTCTAAATGTTTAGATACCAAATATTGTTATTGTGTGGTTATATGAAAATTATATGAAATGATAAATTTCAACCTTATTTCAAGTGAAAATAAATATGTTATTCATAAAATTATCATTTCTAGGAAATTTCTAGCATTAGAATATTAGAAGTTTAAGAAACTGTTTGAAGACGTATGCATGGTAAGAAAAATTGTTGATATGTGCAGAGACGGAACTAGCTAATTTTTATTGAGGGACAAAAATAAAAATCAAAAGTAAAAAATTTTAAAAATTAATATGCTAAATTTAACCAACAATTAAAAATTAATAATAGAAAATAATTTTATATAATATGAAAATAAAGAAAAGAAAGACTTATAATAATCTTTTAGGAAAGTTGTGCTCGATCATGTTTTTTGTATTCAAATTCATCAATTTTTGATTATATACTAGAAAACATCGATTTCTTTAAGATTGAATCTTAAACATTTTGATTCACATTGCTTTTATTCATGAGTTGAGGCTTGGTGGTCCAAGTGTAGGCAAATTATTTAGACAATTTGCATCTTTTCTTTTAAAGAATTTAATAATTGTTTTCAACTTAACCATACTTTAATTAAATTTGAAAAAAAAATTAATGCAGTTTATATTTAATATTCTTATTTTATTTCTATTGAAACTTATAATACTAAATATAAAACTATAATGTGTAAAATATAAATAGTTAAATATGATATACCAAATTAGTAATTTTCTCTTATATAATCAAAATTGTTTAAAGACTATATATTTGAAATAATTTTTTTCAATTAAATATAAAACATAAAATATATAAAAAAATATATACTTAGCTTGTATTTATTGCTATCACTGCTTATGGCTTAAGCAGGTTCCCTGCCTTAATGGGTAGTTTTTGTAAATCTTATTGCTAATTATATCTTTCTTCACCTTTCAAAAAAAATGTTACTTTCTTTTTACATAATCATAATTAATAAAAAATATACATTGATGAAATTTTTAGTAACAATATAATACTATAACTTATTTTTGAGAATTACATAATAATTTATTAATTTTTAAAAATTAAAACCATAGAAAATAAAATCTATATAACAGAAAAAAGAATAACATGGTAAGTAGAAGATAAATATCACATGACATAACAACAAAGGAAAAAAAAGAATATGGTCGATGATTGGTAAAAATTTAGAAAATAAAATCTATAAAAACTTAGAATACATGAACATATAGAATAAAAATAAAAAATAAACAAATATATATATAAATAATAATATAAATTTAAAGAAAAAACAAAAAAAATAAAATTGAATGAATTATGTGGGATTATTTTGTTATTTTTTATTTATATTAATTATTAAACAAAAAATTATTTTGAAAGAATCATTAAGAGAATATATAAAATTTTTTAAAAATTTTATATAATATGAAAAATATTTTAAAAATTTTAGAGACCCATCGCCCAGGGAGGCTCCACTCCTGAATATGTGCAAAGTTGAAATGATTTTAATTCTAGAAACCATACTAGGCAACCATGGCCTGACGTTGATATAGAATGGTTCTGGAGTCATTCTGTAGGTAGGTTAGGCTCATTGATGACTACTTGGGATAAGGGCCTATTTGGTTACAGTGATCATAAGGGAGAGTTTTATCCTTGTTCAAGGGGAATGGCTTGTTTAATACGGAAGTTGGTCTTGGTGCCATGGGAACTTAAACTATAAGGAAAGATGGCTAACAAATATAAAAATTTAGATAACGTTCGATATAAAAAAAGTGAAAATATGTTTCTTGTAATATGTTTGATTAAATTATAGTATAGTATTATTTTATAATAAATTATTGTAATTAAAATAACAATATAATTATATTAGAGTTAATGGATGTAATAGAATTACAATTCAAAATTAATTCAATCATATTGCATTACATTTTGTAATATTTTTAAAGATATTTTTACTTTTCAATTTAAAATTAAACATTGAATATTAGCTTTTAAAATAATTAAAATAAAATATATAATATAAAAAATTATATTAAGAAATAAAAATAAAATATATGACATTAAAAATATATTTAAAAGATGAAATTATATAAAAAATTAATAATAAAAAATATAGATATATTAAACTTATATTTTAATATACATGAGTAATTCTGAAAGTTGACATTACATTTTTTGCATTTTAATCATTACTTTACTTATATATATCAAGTATTACACTGTTATCTTCCATGCAATCTCACACATTACCTACAATTACATTGCATATGTAATCTCACACGTTATTTGCAATCACATTACATTGTAAAATATAAATGGCCTCTTAAATTAGAGAAAACCAAACACTATCCTCTTTTTTCTTCAATTCTTTGTAGTGAGAACTACCAAGATTTAAGCAATAGGGTTCAACCTTCAAGAAACATTTTCTTTTTCATGTTTTCTTAATTAAATACCACTTGAACACCATAACTAATGTTTAATTTTGGTTTAAACGTAACTAATTAATTTTTACTAATTTATTGATTAAATGAACAAGTAATTAAATAATTTTTTATTTAGTTGTCATAATTCTTATGAAATTTGAATTATTATATGGCATTAATTTCTTTTATTAAAATTTTATTTCTGAAAGAGGAAATATTTGAATAGAAGAATAAACATGTGGAGCCAAATATGTCAAGGCAATTTGTAATTTGTAAAAAATAATATAGATTTATTTTTTAATCATACTTTTGTACTTTAAAAAATGAATGAAAGAAAATTTTCAAATGTTTAGATATACAGTTTGTGGAGGAGTCTATATAAACGCAACGTGTAAAAATCAAATCAGATATCTAAACCCTAACCAAATTAAAATAGTCCTTCCAACTTGATTATTTTAAATCAAATTCATGGCATTTCATTTGTTCACAAATGTCAATAATAACTACCTTGGGTTTAAATTGAAGTATATAATTTAATAATAAATATATGAATCACTTGTTCAAAAGTTAATTTTGAATCTTTCTTTCATTCAAAATTTTACTTATAAAAAAGAACAAATTTTGCATATAAGTCAAACCATATTGGAGCTCATTGTTAATTATTATACCATCATTTACTTTTCTTGGAAATTTTAAAAATACAAATTTATATGTTTGATAATGTATCAAAAATTTTCTAAATTATAATATTTTTCATAAAATATATGACAAAAACAGAAAAAGAAAAATATAGAAAGAAACATTAACTAAGCATAGCAATGTGGGTGGTTTTTTACTTGCCTCGAACCAACTTGACTTTTTGATACCTCACTCATACCCCCCTATCCTATTATTTTTAATTCAAATTGGAAAAATATAATATCTATAACTAGCATTTGATTTGAAATGTATTTTAATGATTTTATTTTGATATAAATTTATTTTTTAATTTAATATAATTTGTCAAATTGATGCGAGTAAGATTTATGATTGCGAAAAGAATATTTATATCTTTGACAAATTTGATTTGATAAAATCAGAATTACTCTTACCTTCACCTGTGCTCTCATCCTTCAACATGCTATCCAACTCCTTAACAAATCTTTCCATAAGTGTTGCTGGCAAGCAAATTGGCATTATAATCCCATCTTCCCCTTTCTTGTTTGTGAATGGTAAAAGATGGTTTCCATCCATAATCTTGGCTTGTCCACCGTACGCCGCCTTGCCCCAACCAAAATCAACATCTTCGAACTTGGCACGTGTCACGTCTGACACTAGGAAAGATCGGGTCAGGGAAAGGGCAGGTCGGCCTCTAGACACAAGAAAATCTGCTGTCGATTTCATGTATTCTTCTGTTACCTTTGCCTTGGTCTGTTTCACTAGCTCTATCGCATACCATAATGGATTTTGGCACAGTTTTCCCACAGTTGTTAAGGTTGCTGGGTAGGCAATTGCATTGCCATAGTATCCTAAGGGTAATGGAGGATTAAACTTGGAACGTGCATTTACGACGCAAATAATGCGAACGTCTTCGTTCGGGTCAAGTTGCAAGGCTATGGTATGACATCGCCATAAGCATGCGGCTATGATGTCAAAAGTTGAACATCGGCAGTGCGGGGGAACCAATCTGCGTAGCGCTGAGACTTGTTTGGGTCCGAAGAAAAAAGAGCGATGAACCATGTTGTCCAATTGAGTGATTTTGTTGGCATTGGTATGGATCACTTGTTCAAACTCATGGTGCGTACATGTAATTCGAGGTGGGTTTCGAGCATTTAGGAGATGTCTTTCCCAAACGGGTGAGATTGTGGGAGCAAGTGCACCTCGTGCCATCTCGCCCATTGCCGACATGAATTGCACCAAGCCAATAGCATCACTCATGCTGTGGTTGTGGCGTAGGGCAAAGATGAAACCCCCACATTTCAATCGTGTTACCTGTGTTAAATTTCAAAAAAAAAAAAACCAGTAATGATTACTTTTGTTGCTAATTATTAAATATTTTCTTCCTTTTTTTTTGGTATTTCGAAGATAACTTTTGTTGCTAGTTACTAAATATTTTTCTTCCCATTTTTTGGTATTTCAAGGATAACTTTTGTTGCTAGCTATCAAAGAAAATTTTGGCTTATATTTTAGAAAAAGAAGTCCAAGGAAATAGAGATGTTTGAAACACAAACCTCAATTCTTTTATCACAAATACTTTTGCGTTGTAATTATTTTTTATTATTGTAAAAGTTTTATTTTGTCCAAACCAGATCATGATACCATAAAAGGCTTCTTGCTACAAAAATAAAAGACTTGTAATGGCAAACTGGTTGTGGAGGTTAATAAATTTGTCTTTTAAAAAATATATATAAAGAACTCAATAAGCAGATAATGATATAGAAAAAGATAAACTTAATTGTAAGTAAACAAGATAACCTTTTTTTTTAAAGAGGAAATGATTTTATTAACTTCAAACCCGGGATGCCATGTGAAGTCTCTTTTGCCTAACTGATCAAAGACTGTTGTGGCATTAAAACTCTACAAAAGATTCCAAATCCCATATCAGATAATGGTTTCACCCAAAGTCAAAATCAAATCAAAACGCGAATTAAAGAGTTTTTCAATTTCAAACAAAACAAAGAAGTTCCAAGATAGAAGAAACAAAGCTTCGACAAAAATCATCAAAAGCCAAACAACAATATAAGTATCTGTTTGGTTTAGCTTTTTGTTAGTTTAAAAGTTATTATGAAACTCCTATGAAAAATATTAGCTTTTAAAATTAAGCTAAATCTATTTGGTAAATTTACTTTTATAAGTTTTTTTTTTATAAACAAGTTGTTTGACAAAATAATTTATATAAGTTCTAATTTTGATTAAAATTACCATAAAAGGTATTTAATAAATAATTTCTATTAATCAAAAATTCTTTTGTTCATAATGAAAAAAAAGTTAATTTTAGTTTTTTATTTATAAAAAGTATAAAAAGTATTTTTATATAACATAAAATTTATAATTAATAATAAATCATACAAAAATAAAAACAAATAATGTTGAAATTATTTTTAATGGATGAGGACATTTTTGAAACAAAAATAAAAACTTTCCTGAAAAAAAGGCATATTTTTTAAAAAGAGGAGAGAAAGCTCCTCCATAGACCTTTTTCTAAAGCTTTTTTTTTAAAATTTTATTTTTTAAAAAAAAAAGCTGCTTATTTTTTTAAGAATTTTTTTTTAATTTTTATTTAACCTGACTTTTATTTTTAAGAGATAAATAAACTGAAAAAAAATCAAGCTAAACAAGCACTAAGTACAACTTTGTCGCTGTCAATTGATCAAAGAAAAAGATGATATGGTAGGATGTGTTGTTTGAGAATAAGTTTGGCAGGTCAACGATATGTTTTTAAGGATTAGTTTATGATGGAGCTTATCTTCTAGAACAAAAGAATGAGAGTTAAAGGTTGAGAGGTTGGAGTTTTCGGAAATACCTGAATTAAAAGCAATGGACAATTTAGCACTCCACCGTAACCTTGAACATCATAGAGAAGCTCCTCCATGCATGGAAATGGTGGTTGAAGCTCCTCACCAAACTGCTCGAGTGTAACATCGGCATCGCCCTCACTAAACAACACGCCTTCGCTGGTACAGTCCACGGTCAGCTTGCGATTAGGCCCTTCTCTTAACCTACCAGCATATGGATAATAAAACACTAGAGTTTTTGCAAGTGCATCTCTGATAACCCTAGCAGGGTCCCTCCCTTGCATGGAAGGGCTATATCGATAAAATTGGATTACAGGACATTCAAATCGATGACCTTCTCGATCATCAATGTCCGACAATGGCTTATGCTCAACAGGGGTGGGCTTAGCCGGGACCACTAGCTCTGGTTCACACCTACGAACCTTGAATGCCAAGGAAGTCGATCTCTGTGCCATGGGAGCTGAAACTATAAGGAAAAATGGCTAAGAACTATAGAAAACTAAGTTAAGAGAAGACCAGACGGGAAGTATTCTTCTTCCTCTTCTTTCTTCAATTACTTATAGTGGGAACTACCTAGAATTAAACAATAGGGTTCAACCTTAAAGAAGCATTTTTTTTTCCATTTTCTTACCAATTAAATACCACTTGAACACAATAACTAATGTTTAATCTTGGTTGAAACGTAACTAATTAATATTTACTACTTAACTGATTAAATGAACAAGTAAATAATTTTTTAGTTCATTGTCATAATTTTTATGAAATTTGAATTGTTATATAGCATTAATTTCTTTTCTTAAGATTTTATTTTTGAACAGAGGAAAGATTTGTATTTGTAAAAAATAATTTAGATTTATTTATTAATTATTATTTTTGTAGTTACAAAAATAATGAACGAAAGAAAGTTTCAAGACATTTAGATATATAGTTTGTCGAGGAGTTTATGGTATATGCAGCGTGTAAAGGGCAAATCACACGCTTAACCTTAACCAAATTAAATAAGCCATACAACCTAATTATTTTAAAATCAAATGAATGACATTTAAATTGAAGGATTTTGTTTAGTAATAAATATATGTACCACTTGTTCAAAAGTCAGATTTTGAATGTTTCAATTTGTTTCAAAATTTTACATATTAAAAGGAACGAATTAACTTTTCAGAACAAATTGTGTGGTTAAGATGAAATCTAATGCTTCATTTAATACTTCATCTAGAAAGCGATCTTCATATGTAACTAATAATTTAATATCAAATAAAATAAAAAATCAAGTCATCTAAAATCTTAATTATGATTCAATTTGTTATTCTTCCTATTAACCAAGGAATAGGTGCTGGATAACATGCATTATATTTATTGTAATAAAATCACCTTATTGAGAGAAGAACGATTGTGTCTTATAATTTAAATAACTAGTAGTAAACGTTAACATTTATCCATACATCTAACTTCATTGCGTTTTTTGCCAAAACTTTCTTCTGGGAGGAAGATTTTAAATGAGCTTTCCTTCTCAATTAATTGGAACTTTCAATTTTTTCGACCATAACTTAAATAACCTAAACTTCAGCTGTCAGTCATAGAGTCCTGTCTCGCGAAAAGCAATATATATGATGATTGAGAAAGCTCCTACTTAAATTACTTTACATCTAATTTCCAATTCTAAGAATAGAATTAAATATACAAGCTTAGAAACTAGACAGGAGTGAAAACTCTCAGGAATCATTTATGCATCTGGTTCAAAGTCTAATTTTATTTTTATTCATTAATGGAAATTCGGTACACATTAACTGCGTGACTATGAGACAAGAAAGGGTATTACTTGCGTGGGGGTGTAGATCAAATATCTAAGGAATGGTCACTTGTTGAAAATTTCATGGGGGAACAACTTCAACATTGGAATGCCTCAGGCATCCGAGAAAATCAAATGCCAAAACATAGCTGTAAATCATGCTTGTGGGTCCATACCCCATCAGAATAGACCCCGTCATTGGAATTCCGATGACTTCACATAATGCAGTTGCTCTAGAAATGTTGCATGTCCAGCTGCAGCAGCAAAAATTCAAAGTTAATTAAATGGAGTAGATGATGAGATGAGTGCAAGTTGCTGGAGTTGACCATAAGCAGTTAATCTTGATTTAAATAAAGACGGAAAGTCAGAAGGAGGAAAATGAAATTAATGAAGAGATGACTCTTAGGTCCTCATTGAAGGTATGGGGTATAGGAGCTGAGTGGTGAAGTGAATGATAATGGGTGAAAAAGGTGGCTTTCATGGAAAAACCTATGCGCCCGGTATTATGCGGGCTTCGAAAGTGTCACATGCAGTAACAGTAAGGCGATAAGTCCTTTTGAGTTCCAGAGAGGAAGGCCACCCAAGGATGGGAAGATCAAGCAGGCAATGGAAGCATTTTTTTTCCCATTTTCTTAATTAAATACCACTTGAACACAATAACTAATGTTTAATCTTGGTTGAAATGTAACTAATTAATTTTTACTACTTAATTGATTAAATGAACAAGTAAATAATTTTTATTTCGTTGTCATAATTTTTATGAAATTTGAATTGTTATATAGCATTAATTTCTTTTATTAAGATTTTATTTTTGAGGGAGCAAAGATTTGAATAGAAGAATATGCATATGAAGCTAAATATGTGTAAGGGGTTCTTTTGGTAAGGAGAGAGGACATGTTGCAATGAGTGAATCGGAATATATTAGAGACGGTAAAGAGAAAAACTAGAACAGTTCTTGAAGCATAAGTACTTTGGTGGTAGGTGATGAGAGATAAGAAAAAGCGAAGAAAAATGACAAATTATGACAGATGGAAAGGGTTGAGTAGAAAGAATGTTTGGAGAAGTATTTGAGAGAGCTTTTCAAAATAATATCTGCTAGGTTTTTTATGATTTCTCCTTGCCTCTTAACCTCTAAGATTTTCATATTTATACAAAATAGGAGCACTTTCATAAGAGTAGTTAGGAGATCACGTTTAATTATTCGAGAATATGTTTATCATGGATAAGTAGTTAAAGAAGGTTTATGGGATGTTAAAAGAATGATCATGTAACTGGATAATAGACGTAAGTTTTGAGTAATAGAGTAGTGACATTTGATATTGCACGTGTGTTCTTAAAAAGCAAAAAAGAAAAAATAGGTAAAATATATGTACTTTAAAAAAAGGTTAAGAGAAATTTTCTTAATATCTTGATATGTGAATTACCAAGCCAAGCTTTTTAAACATCCCAAATGTGAAGGTACTCATAAGCCCTGCTACTTGTTGAGTTATTTTCATTTTCCCGTACAAATAGGTGTCCATGCTTATTTCTAGGTAGAGCCTATGAAAATGGATTTGGCCCATTGGATCAGTCATTTTTTATTGAAAATGATGGGTTAGGCTTGGAAATTTAGGCTCATATTGAATTGGGCTAATGGGCTAACCTATATGATCAATGGGCTAAGGCGGGCCAGCCTTGTGGGCAAAAGAAAAAAAATTAATAATTTAGTTATTTTATATAGTTAACTATATAAAATTAATAATTTAGTTACCAATAGTATTGCTTATTTTATATATTTCTATGTCTTTAATCTTTACTTGTCAAATTAATAATTTAAGTTTAGATTAAAACTCAGTATCTTTGGTATTGATCAACATCATAAAAGGTTAAGAGCTCTTTTACACTAGAGTTAACAAATGGCGTACTATTCTTGGACAAGATATGGCTGGGTATTCCAAATCTACATATGATGCTCTCTTCAATGAAGTTGGCCATGGTCTGTTCAGTTGTCTTTTTAAGGGAACATCCTCTATTCATTTAGTGAAGCACTTTATTGCTGCAAGTATCTATGTAGGTCTTCTAGAAAGGAGACTGATAGGCCCAATCAAATCAAATGTTCAAGTGTGGAAAGGCCAAGTGTGATATGCTATGTAGTACTACAATTGGAGCATGTATAGCATTTCCATGAACTTGATATTCATGGCATTTCCTTAAACAATTCATTGCATCTCTTTCCATGTAGACAATAGTATCCAAATCCAATAGTTTTGATAAAGTTTTCTCCTCCCTTCATGCTCTCCTCTATTCCAGTGAACTTTTTCCATTAAGGGATTTATATAGTAGAGAAACGCACTTCAGTGGATGTCCTGCAAATGATGCTCGGAACAATTCATTTTCTTTAAGGAAGAAACGTTGAAGCTCTTTCTTTCAATTGTCTTGCATCTTGAGAATTTGTTGGAAGAACTCCATTTTAAAAAGGTCAATGTAAGGTTTACGTCAATTGCTCGCACTTCCTACAAAATGACATTCATGCATATCTGGAGGTTCTGAACACTTGGACAAGACTGTTGAAACTTAAATGTGTCTTTAAACATACTCGGCCAAAAATACCATGCTCTTTAAAGTAACTAGTGCAACTTCTGATTGAGTTGAGTGGCGTAACAGCTACCTTAGCAAGATAAGGTAGTTTCAGACAAACTCTAAGAAGTTGAGACCTTCGTTTTTCTTCTGATTGAGCAACTTCTCCAGCTCTTTCTTTATGATAAAACTCTAAAATTATGAATTGATTGGCAAAATTTATATGTTTGATAATCTATTAAAAAGTTTCTAATTATAATATTTTATAAAAAAATTGAAAAAAAAGAAAAAATATATAAAAAATTAATTATGGATAACAATGTAGGTGGGTCCCAGTGATGCTACTAGCTTTTTGTTTCTTGGCTGAACAATAAACCACCTTATGGTCTCTTTGAAAATATGGCACATGCTTTCTTCTGTACCTTATGGTTTATTGGCTTTGTGAAAATGAAACCCTCTTCCAAGGTAAACATCTTGATGTGGATCAGCTGCAAGACATTATCCTTGTTTGGTTAGCCCATTGGTGCAAAGGAAAATGGCCACTTAACCACATTCCAGCTTCTCACTTCCTTTTTGAACCTAGTAGAATTTGCATCAATATTAGGAAATGCAAAAGATAAGCCATTCTCAAATGGATGAACGACCACCAAGTTCTTACAAACTGAATGTTGATGGTTCTGCCCTTGGGAAACCAAGGCCTGCAAGTATTGGGGTACCATTAGAGATTATGAAGGTTTCATTAAAGGGGTTTTCTTATACTTCCATTGGCATCGATGACTCCAATTATGCTGAGTTTCTTGTTATCAAAGAGGGCCTCTCCTTCTTCTTTTTTTTCACATTGGGCCTCTAATACTCTTCATGTTGAAAGTGACTCAAAAAATGCCATCACTTGGGCATCAACCGCAACTTTGTTTCGTGGTGCATGAAGCTTTTATCCAACTATAGTGAAGCGTTCAAAACAAGCTTTAAGGATCTTACCTTCACTCACATTAACAAAGAGGCAAACACTTTGGCTAACGGGCTTGCAAAAGCTGGGACTATTAAGTTCAATCGTTTTTCAACTTTATTTTAATCCTGGTTCGGAAATGTAGATGTTTAGTCTCTATTCTATTCATCTTATTAGTTCACTTTGTTGAGTTTGTGAATTTCTGGGTTTATGTTGAAATTTTTTTCTTTATGTTGTTATGGCTTTCCTGTAAGTCAATCTTTTAAACTATCATCGATAGTTTCTTTGTATTGCTTAATTGACTTATTTATGATCACTTGCCATTCAAAAAAAAAAAAACAATGTAGTGATTGTTTTCCTTGAACTAATATGACTTTTTGATACCACACTCATATCCGACTAACTTATTATCTTTAATTTTCATACTCGATTTTAATTCAAAAAATATAATACCTATAACTAGCATCCATTTTAAAATGTATTTCAATGATTTTTTAAAAATAAATTTATTTTTAATTTAATATAATTAATTGAATTTGTAATTATTTTACTATTGAATTGAACTCAAGTTAAATCCTATCGAATCAAAATAAATCAATTATAGACACTTATTTCATTATTTAATAGTTTTGAAACTTGCAAATGGGTCAACCATCCCAAATGAAACACCTTAAAAGTTGGATGGTACCAAAATTAAATTGGTTTTAAATATATTTATTTCAGTATTTAATCTTTCAAAAAAAATTTTACAAGTGGTGGGAATTGAATCTTAACTTTTTTGTTAATACCATGCCATTAAATGTATGTTTTGTTAAAGCATTCACCATATCTAATATTTATTTTAAAACCAGAATTATATTTTTAACAACAATAACATCACCACTTAATTGATTGGTGGATTGAACCGTTTGTGAACAAAAAACGGACCACGCCGGTTCTACCTCTGGTCCGGTATAGATACATAACTTATAAGCTTGAATCTCTCTTTGGCGGGAAATATTAGTCACTTTCCTATATTTCCTCAATTTTCACCAATATTTTTAATTTTGCAGTTTTAAATTTTTTCCTCACTTTCTCGACAACCAACCACTGGAATTCTCACTCAGACAAAAAAGGAAAATGTCGAAATTCGAGTACCCGATACTCTCCCGCGCCGACATAATATCAATCCTTGCTGAGTCACAAATTGCCGCCGTCACCGACAACGATTTCAAGAATGTCAAACCCGATTTCGTCTCCGATCTCTACACTCGCCTCCTCATCTACCTCGACGCTCTCCATGAGTCCGCCCATTTCACCTTATAAGCAATTCGTCTTTCCCTTTTTTTTTTCTTTTAAAAAATAATTACATGATATTTAGGGTTTTTTTTTTCGCAGGGAAGACCAAGGACAAGTTGAGTTTTCAGCATTGGAGCAATTTGAGAACCCGGATCTTCTAATTGGATCAATCCAGGTTATGAACTTGTATTGCAGGTTAAGAGAGGTGGTTGCTTCTCTTAATTGTCCAATGCAATTTAACCTTAGGGATTTGGTTAAACCCGATTCGGCCCGGACTGAGTTTTTCATCAGCGCAATCCTCAACTTTTGTCTTTATAAGTAAGTATTTTCTTACTTCAAGAGTTCTGATATTGATTTATTTCAGCTGACTTGAGTGAAAATTGGAAAATGTGGGATTAAATTGTTATGCCATTATGAGTGTGAAATGGTTAGGTTTAGAAAACAAGAAATGATTACGCAGACTTTTCTTTTATCATGTCAATTGTAGGTTTAACTAATCAAGATCTGACATTTTTATTGAAATTTGCCTATCAGCACAGAGCATTGACAGGTTCATAATTTTCAATAATTTGATAAAGTTGTTACTATTTATGAAGTTGTGTCTATTTGTGTATTAACATGGCAAACTTTCAACAATGTGTGGCATTGTGATTTTTGGGATTATAGATATGGCATTCTGGTATATGAGGAACAATGATGTTAGGCATGAATTTTTGAATAGTAATTTAGATTGACTGGCTATCAAACCATGCATTAATGGTTGATAGATGACAGATGAGATTCAGAAGTTGTGTCTTGGTTCTCCATACCTTACCTTTTACAGTCTGACTTGGTTTTGCATGGTGGTCTTTATGGGTTATAGCAGCTCTTTCGTGACTAACTGAACACATATCAAGGCACAATCTAGAGAAAACTTGTGGATTGCTCCCTGATGACCCATGTAACAGCTTTTCCCTTGGTTAGATTCTTTAACACTAATGCTGAAAGCTGTCATTTGGTTAAGTTGAGATCCTATGGGACAACCATTGGAGCGGATTTAGATATGAGCAAGCGGTAGCGTGTCTACTGACCATGCAGCAGTTTCTCTTGTCTTATGTTAATCCCCGTTATCTTCATAGTCTTTTTCTCTGATTGCCTTTTATAAGAAATTCTGTTTCTTAAATAACATTTTGGAACAGTAAATTTCCTTTAATTGTTCTCCAATTTCTTCCAGCCTTTTATGCATTAAGTTATTCTGCTTGTTGATTTCCATCTCAGAGACACAAAAATGAATCTTCTGAGACCGATTGCTGAGGAGCTGACCCTTCTGGATGAGCAGCGAAAGGAGTGGGAGGCTAAGATTTCTCAGGTATATGAAGAAAGATTTTTGATGTTTTAGAGTAAAGATCAATTTTCACCATATCTTTGCCTTGCAGTTGAATGCAGAGATTGCAGGTTATAGTGAAGCAAGAGAAAGGGAGTTACCCCTTGTTCAAGAGGTAGACTCAAAAGTTAAAGAATTGCATGAGATGATTGCTGGCCTCAACAGTAACCAGATGTCATTGAGAACTTCTTTTCGGAATTTGAAGGATAAGACTGGGCAAATGGATGAGAAGGTTAGGATGTTATTAGTAGCTCCTTACCAAAGCTTTATTTCAATGATGTAGAAATAGTGACCCAGTTGTCAACTTGGTGAGGAGAGTTAACCTATATGTGTTTTTCAAACTAACATTTTTGATAGTATTTAGCTTTGGAGAAAATATTTATACACAGTTTTTTTTACCATAAGATGTGCTTAGAGTTAGATGTGTGTCTATAAATTGTGGAAAAGTAAATAATTTTGTGCCATTCTTTCTCAATTTATTTTCACCTACTTGCCACATGCCTTTGAACCTGAAGGATTTTTCATAGTAGTGTTTGATCTAGGTTCTTACTAAAATGCTGAGATGTCCTTCTTTCATCTGAATTTTGCATTTTTCTTGCATGGTTGCTGAAATATTATCTTTTTAAGTTTTATATCTGCTTGATTTATTGTACAATTTTCCTTAAACAGATGCTTACTTTATTGTCATTGTCACATTCTATTTTTGTTATCCTTCGTTGCTGCTGTGAATAGATATCCCATGTCTGTTGATCTAGGGTTAGTCCTGGTACACACCTTATATTCTTCATGTGTGTAGAAGGTCTCCTTTCTTTTCTGGTTGGACCACTTTTTGATTCTAAATTTGATATTTTATTTGTAAAAATTGTTTTAAACTTTTAGGTTCACCATGATTTTTGCTTTTATATCTGCATTATATTTTCCCCTTTTTAAATGCTAGAACTACTTTTTATTGTTGTTTATTTTGGCATGCCCTCTATTTACAGATTTCTAAGGCTGAGTTTGACCTGGTACAAAGTGTCCAAGAAAATGCAAATCTACGTTCCAAAATAGTTCAGTCACCAGATAAACTACAGGTTCATATTCCTTCTTATTAAATTCTATATAGGTAATTATGACTCATCAGATATGTAAAATCTTTCTGTTATTGAATCTGATAAACCAAGAGTATAGGCTAATGATACATTTCTTATAATGGAATGCTTTTAAGGTAAGAATGGAGAGCATGGTTTATGTTTTACGTATGCATACTAGAATGGATAGGATATGGTTCAGTTATTTACTTTGACAGCTGGTATTATGTAATTATCTTTTAGTCTTGGGGTTTGGGAAATCCCTACAAATTGGTGATTTCTCTAGTGGAACCAGTTTTATGTTATTGAGAAAAACTATAGAATTAACTGCTATAAAATATCTCCTCAAAGTAATGAGGAAAGAAAAGGGATTTAATTGATAGAAAACTACTATTTTTTATTGCATGTTTAGCTGATGCTTCTCACATATTTCTTCATAACCTCTCACTAAAGTAAACATACACCAAAAATTGTTGAGATGGAAAGACAGCATTGCTATTCAAGATTGTATCGAGGGAAGTTGGAAGAATAAAATACTTGGGAAGGTGAATGTGAATTTTTTTTGGTCTGTGATCCTCAAGTTATGTCCATGGATCTAAATTATATACAGTTGGAATACAGCTAGCTTAACCTTTGTTGTGCCTAAAATGGTATCTGGCATGCATGACTAGGTGCATTTAACTTGGAGAGAAGAGCACAATAAAATGGAATCTTGCTCCTGTTTCTGGTTCTAGAAAAGTGCTTCGCTGAAATTTAATTATTCTAGTAGCATAGGATGCACGTCTACCCTGATTTTTGTGTCTGCTATCATCTTCTTGCATGCTAATTTTAAACCCAAAGCCACCTTTGTGTTACTATATTGTTGTTGCCGTCAATGATTACTTGCAATTCTGTAACTTTGGGACAATTTTCTTTTCGTTTTTTGATGTGGGTGGTTTTTCTCAAGCCCTGTTATCTGCTATTACCTTCCTCCTCCCCACTTGGTAGTGGAATACTCGCATGTCAGATTTGGCACCTTTTATTTGTGCGTGCATTCTTTCAAGTGGAGGTGTCTATACTTATGCATTTTATCCAGTATGCTAAAATTGAGTTTTCATTTTACTTTGTATTTAGGCATACAGACATATCGCTTGTGCCACAAGTGTCACTTGATATTCGAAGTTGTTTTCTTTGCTCCATAGTATTCCATGAGAAAGTAAATATAGTGCAAAGTCACTTTTCTCTGTTAACTAGCCAAGTTGATTGGAGTATTTAATGTAGCTTCAGTTAAATTTGTTATTCACTTCTCTTGGATGGTATGGCTTTCTTTCTTTGCACTAAATTGTTATTCTCTTCTCTATGTTTTGTTTGTTACATTTTTTTTTCCGGAAAGAGAGCTTTAGAGGAAAGGAAATTAGCTCGAGACGAGGCAAAGACTGCTGAAAGGTTAGCTATGCAGTCTTTTCAGGAGAAGACTACCATTGTTGAGGTCTATAGCAAGGTATGTGCCTATATTATGCGGTGTCAGCCTCTTGTTGTCATTCATCTGAAAGCTGACTGGCTGTGAGAGTTTAGTTTGCTTGATCATATTCATTCAAATGCATTCTAACATACGATATATATAAAAGAATTGCATGATGAAGAGGCTCATAATTTCTTAACCTAAATAGTAATAGAATGCTTGTTTATCTGTTTCACATAGAAGTTTAACAATTGTATATGGCATACCTCACCTTTTGTAGCAAGATTTTACTGTTTGTACTATTTGTCCTTGAAATGCTAATCATATGTTGTTGCTGAACTTCTTGCTTCACTCTTTGGATTTTGTATCCTTTATTGTTAGAAAGATAAAGAGTCAATTATTGCTCCTATAAGATTGGATTCTTTTGGGACCTGGGCCTTAGAAACTACTTGTATATTATGCTATTGTTATTCAACAGTGGGAACCCAGTGGTCCTGCATTTTCAATTGCAGATAAAGTCTGAGCAGAGATGCATGGATGTTCATACGCGTACACTTGAGATGAAGAGATTGAACTATCATTGGACTGTAAAACCTTAGCTTTTCCTTTATAAAGCTTGCTTGTATATTCTTTTATACTGTTAAATCTATATTTTGTATTCATTAGCAATCAAAGTAGCTCCTTTTTTACCTCTCACATATCAATATTATCTGGGTGACATACTGAGAATAAAACCCCCTGGTACTTTCTTTAAACAAAGGTGACAAAATAGCTCAAATAGCAGAATTGCAGAAAGGAACATTACTAGTTAATTATAAATCACAAGAGCCAACTTTACAGGTTTATTCAGAAATAAATATCTGGAAAAGGATTGAAGTGCATGTGCATCAAGTCAACATGCATACACGAGGAGTTGCATATGGTAGAAAAGAAGGATTACTAATTCTTGATATCCTTGGGTGTTGTTACAGGCTCTTAAGAAGATGTCAAAGCACTTTGCCTTAATGCAAGCTATACATGAACAGGTACACAGACAGTTGGCCTCTGTTCCTTTTGTGCTTGTTCTCTGAAACTGAGTAGCAATGTCACTTTTTAAGTTTTTTGTGGCTTGTGGAACGAAATCCCATCCCCGCCAAGAAAAGAAATGTATTTGGCATTTTCAAATATATATCGGTTGTATTAGCTTTCAATAAGATTGCATTTCCTCAAGCTCCTTTACTCTTAAAATATTACAACTGAGATTTTTCTCTTAAAAGGAAAGGTTTTGATTTTTGAATTCTAGGCGTTTTTCTTTGTGTTGAAACTACTCATTATGCCAAATCCCCTTGTTTATAATATTGTTTTAATAGGTGAACTCTGCAAAATCAGTTGAGAAAGAATGGAAGGGTTTAAAAGCTAAGTTAAGTGATGATGCTGTGTTAGACAAGTCACTTGAGGCTAAACTGATTGAACGGCAAGGAAAAGGCACGTTCTTATTCAAATTATGTCGTGTTATTGTCCTTCATACATAAACCACTACATAGGTGCTTAAACCTTTAGCTTTATTCTTTCACCAGTTGAACAATTGGAAGAACTCCAAAGGCAGTTACAAAAAGAAAGGGGTCTCAAGTTTCAGGAGTCTACTAAACATTTGAATGATGTGAAGTTGGAGGTGGAATCTAGGCGGTGTGATCTGGAAGCAAGGCAAAAGAAGGTTGAAGATGTGGTGGCAGAGGTAATCCTCATGTCTTCAAATTCTACATGATGCCAAGTTGTCTCTACTCTCTACCTGAAGTTGCTCAACTTCTTAATTTCCCCTTTTATATTTCTTAAACGTAACAGGTAGACTCGATAACGTTAAAGACTAGTATGGTAAAAGAATCTGGAGCTGCTAAAGTGCACGATTTAGTTAGTAAGTGTGAAGAGATTGTAAAACAGGTATTATACTGCTGATTTTAACCTTGAATCATTCTTTGCAGTGTGCTTATCATAAATATTGAATATTTGGTCTTTGCTTCATTCAATCAGAATAAAGATCTAGTTAAACTAGGATTATTAGTAAAGCTTGATTTAGTTATAATGGAATTATTAATGAATAAATTTATTATGTATATGATAAACCTCCAGTAATAAGATTAATTTTTTCTGTTTATCAACCATTGAACACTTTTATTATATCATTATTATTATTTTGATCAACTTGTATTATTATTTTAAAATTATCCTTATCTGTGTTCTCTTATGTTGAGTTCATTGTATATTAGTTGATATAAGAAGGCTAGAATTTTTTAAATTCTTGAGCTGAAATTTGTTGAAATGGTCATCTGATTGCAGTTTCAACATTATTCATCCTCTATTGGGGTTTTGCTGCCTGTGCTTGGGACAAAGACAACTTGATTGAGAAGCTGCAACCAGCCTTTAACTTGCATGCTAGGAAGCCACTCTATTGTGAAATCCATTTTATTCATGAAAATGTAAGTTGTGTTTAGTCTGCTGCAGTAGAAATATATTTATATGGTCTTTCAGTGCTTCTAATTATTTATTGACTTTCTGTTAGTAAATGATGAGGCTTGTAAGTGAGTTCTATTTTATTGTATGTAGCCAAGATGGTACTAACTTGTTAAAATCTCACTTCTTGTGGAGTTCTGTAGAAGATCTTTACGGTAGTGTTGCCCTTGTATCTCTGCTTGCTTTATATGCAGTGTAGACTGACAGTTTTTTGTACATAACCAGGCATATGATAATGACAGATAACATGGTTCTCTAATGATGAATGGGGAATAGATTATAAATGTTAATATTTCTAGTGAAGCCGACAATCCAGATTTAATAGAATTTTTATAGTTTTTAGGTAATTCACAAGTAAGCTAGTTATTGCGCCGGATGCCAATTGCTCAATGCCTCATTCATCTGATGAGATGTCCTATATACCTTATATATTTTCTAATCATATCATGTGGAATCTGTTAGTCTACAATTTGTTTTGGATTTTGAAGGGAAGCCAAGTTTTCCATGACCAAACATGTAGTCTTTAAATGAAGCACACATGAATTCTTGTTGGAAGTTATGTTTGCATTGTTGGCATGGGATGTAGCTTGGTTTGATTATAAGAGCAGCCTGAGGGACTTTCTTACATTCTTATATATATGGATTCTTGGTGGTTTAATAACATAGGAGTAACTTGCTGGAATTCCCTGGCCAGTGTCTGCTGATGCAGCATGGTGCATGCTGTATTTGGGATTGGTGCAGCTTTCTCGTCTGATACTTCATCAGGCTGCGGGATGTCGTTTCAGTACTAATGCCTAATATTGATTGCCGTTGGATGGTAAATCTCTAGCCTTATCAGGTGTTGGAGGTACTAATTGACATGAACAAGGCAACTGGTCAGTGGAATTCACATACAGGGTTGTCAGGCATCGAACAGCTGGGCTTTGAGTGAGTCTTCATGATTTATGCATATGCTTCTTTTTTTCTTTTTCGTGAAAATCATGCTTATGCTTATATGGTGGTAGCCGAAGCAGAGTGAAAATCCTTTTCACTGTTAATAAGCTCAGAAATGGGTGGCTGAGTGCGCTTTCCATGATCCTAATGGCCACCTGATTTCAGGACGTTGTGAACTTTTTGCAAGGGAATGGGGCTGTATTTTATTTTTCCTTTTTTGGGAACAGGAATTCGAATCTAGTTTTTTGAACAGCATGGAGCCGTGTGGTGAGCACAGAGGGAACTATTCGTTTGCCTTTTTCAACGGAGGATATATGAATTTACCATTGAATCAAATGTTTGAGTGCAGGATCGAGATTGTTAGTAGTCTCCCATTCATGGAAGGCATAATAGGGGTTGCGTTGCTTGTTCAATGATCAATTAGGAGTTGAATGACTTTTACTATAGGTTTGTCAGGCTGTAGCGGATGCCCTTTGTTTGGCCTTTTGGGCACGTTCCTACAGAGGTACTGAGTTCATACATGGGTTGGAAAATCTCAAATCTGTCTCAATCAATCTGGATCCAACCTAACCAGTAAATGGCTGACCGAAGCCAATAAATGGCTAGACATAGGGATCAGGGGAGGGGGCCTGAATGAGCTTGGGTCATCAGCTAGAGAGGAACCCATATATGATAGTGTGTAGGGCTTTCCAAAACGTAGGCGAAACCGCATATCATTTACTTGGAATTGAGGGGAAAGGAAAGGGGCCTTCTCTTACGAAAGAAAGACAACGTAATCTAATCAAACTAATTTCTTTTTGTTTTCTTTTTCCTCTTCCAAAGTCTTTCCTGGTTCCAAATATTGGGTAGATACATACGTACATACATATGTATTTGTTTAGTATATATCCATTTTCGGCCACGTGAAGCTAATTATTGAATGGATCCTCCTTTGCAGATAAGAGAATCAAAGCTGAACAAGTAGAGCTGCAAAATGAATGCCGATATTTGGGGGTATACAAGTTTAGCATCTTAATTAAACAAGGATTATTGGTTAAAAATAAATAAACACCTCTTAATTAATGTTTAGAAGCTTTAATTAGTCTTTTCGATTTAGGCAGAGAACACCATAAAACCACATAGCTTTATAGCTATTACTTACCTTTTTTTATGGAGGAACACGAATGGTTAGGTGACTTTCTATATCCATATTTCCCTTTCACCAATTTTCAATGTGCAATCATATATCATTTTCAATTTCCCTTCTCTCTTTTGTTAATCACACTCCCTTCGCTTCCTTCATCTGTTTTTATTTTTTCTTTCAAATTTGTTACCATTATTATATAATAATGATGGAGTTTTATTTTATCAATAATTAAAATTTAATATCAACCACATAAAATTTATGAAATGACTAACGATTGTATTTTTATTTTATGATTTGAAATTATAAATTGTTTAAATGAAGATATCAATCTAGATATTATAAGCAAAGGAAATTTCTATATTTTGTTGTCTAGAAGTAAAAATATGTTTAAATTCTTTTGACAACAAATTATATTTAAATTTTGATTTATGTTTCAATATCCAATTGAAAGCCATACATGCAACACTACCCACAGAATTATTTCATATATGTTTGTGATAGAAGTCATGTCATATCATAAAGACATTATTTTCACTCTTTACTAAACAATTAAATAATTTTAAATACCCAATTTTCATGCCTAAAAACATTTAATGAAATTAGATGAGTAAATTATATTCTACCCACAAATTTTTTTTCCAATTTACTAGTTTTAAAAATTCGAATAGAATGTGTATATGTAAATTATAGCAATTTATAAATTTTCTTGAAATGGATATGAGATGCCAAGAAACGGCATAAAATCTAAAGAAAATATAGGAAAAAAGAAGTGAGCAGGTGCTAGATCAACAAAATTGGAATAAAATTAATAAATTAAAACAGGGAAAAAGAAAATGCAACTGTACAGTGTATCCATGCCACAGTCCCTAAAAAAAACAAATCTAAAAAGGAAAAAAAAAAAAAACTCCCATTTGGAGGAAGAAAGAAATACGGTGCCTTTGTCCTCAGACCAAAACTCTCTCTCTCTATCTTTCTTTCTCTAAGAAAACCATTTTCTCTCTCTATCTAGTTCTTCATCTCCTGATCCTTCTTTGTTGCATCATTTTTCTTCTTTATAATCTAAGTTTTGGGTCGAATTTGGTTTTTCTGTTCGTCCAATTTGTTTTGTTTTGGTGGGTTTTTGTTGCATGGTTTTAATTTATAATCTATAGAAAAGATTCAATCCTTTTTTCTATATCAAAAGTTGGGTTTTTTTTATCATCTATGGATCCACCTGGACTTCCATTTTTTTGATTCTTCTCTTTTTAGACTGTGAATTAGAGGAATAGAAAGGAAAATAAAGAATGGGATTGGAATCAGCTGGTGGGTTCTTTGAAAAATCACTGAAGTTTCAATATTGACTTCAAAACTACAATTCAATTACTGATCAAAATTGGGGTTTTCTTACTTTTTCATTTATTTGTTGTTGGTTTTTCTGCTTTCTTATTTTTGTGTGTTTTGAGTGGTTTCTATTTCAATGGAGCTATTGGGGATAATAGTAAACTTGGGGGATTAGAAAAGGTTGATTTTTTGTTTTTGGGGGATAGTTATGGATGAGGTTGGTCCTAGTAATCAAGGAGAGCCTGAAGGGGCCTCAGAATTGGGATCAGAGGAAGGGTCGAAGGTGCGGTGGCGGCCAAGGCAGCTGGTTTTTGGGGCTTATTCACCTAGAAATGAAGCTGATAGAAAGCTGCGAGTTGTTGTCAGGAGGCCTGTAAGTCCTCCTTTTTGTTTTTCCGTTCATTTTTAGTTCAAAATGTTTTGTGGATTTTCGTTGGCATGTTGAAATGTGTAGAAAATTGAGGACCTTTTTGATTTGGTTTGAATTTGAATGGTATGGATTAAGAGATGTTCAGCTGGTTTCAGTTGTGGTTTAGTTAATGATTCTGTTTATAGGGCATGGTTAGTGGGAAAAACTTTGTTGCCCTTTATAACCGTATAATATATGTTAGTTGAGTATGCCATAGCAAGACGAAAAATTTGAAAAATGTAAGTGAGAAAGACAAAAGTTTAAGTTTTGTTGTGATAAAACAGACTGACTACTTGGTGCATATATGCCCTGGTTAGTTTCTCTTCCCAGTTGAGCTAGTATTTTCTATCTCAAGTAGAAGTGTTAGTGACACAGTGAAAGCATATATGAATCAAGTAATCCCATACAAAGAATGCAGTGGCCAGAAGAGACTGTCCCTTACTTTCCCAATGAACAGGGTGTAAATCTTAAATGTTTCACTAGTTGCAAATGTACATATAAAGCTGTGAAAATGACTGAGAAATGCTATGCTTACTACAGTAAGTAAAATGCTCCATGTTAGTAAGCTTAAGCAGAGTAGGTGATCAAATTGGTTTCAGATAGAAGAATGCAATGTGTCAGTACAAATATTAACAAATTGAGGTTGCTAAATTGATTTTATATCCCAAGTCCTATCTATCTTGACAAGCCATCATGTTACCACTCATGCCGATCTATGATGTTTGTAAGATAGCAAACTAGGGAGAAGAGAATCCATGAAGAATACGAGTCTTGGTGGGGCACGGATGCTTATTTACTTTTTTAGTCAGATGTTCAATCATTAAATTCTGTAATTACACCAATGATACCAATATGGATCTCCTCCTATTCATTGAATGATCTATTGTCAAATACTGCTGTTTGGCTTTGTGTATGGATTTGCTCTATTCATGTCTTAATGAAAGAAATCATTCGAATTGCCATTTATGCTTTAGTGTCTGAATATAGGATGCTGTTGGAGAAACTATAAAATTAAGTACTAAATTATTAGTATTGAATTTATATAGTAAAAACGTATTGGTATTTTTATATCTTTTTCATCGAACAAGAAGTAAAAGAGTGAAAAAAGATGGCAAAGGAGAAATCTTTCAGGTTGCATTGGATATGTAGAATAATGGAGAGAATTAAATAAGATAAAATGAGGATGGATATAGGATTAGATTGTATCATCCTACCTTACATTACTTGTGCCAGATTAAGAGTAGGTTAGGTTCAATTTATAACTACTGTGTTTGGTGTGTGCAAGATATAGGGTGATTGTCCTTGGTCAAAAATACACCTTGTAATACCATCTTATATGGATACAATTTTTTTAAAGAAGACTGACTCTAGGATGAAAATGGAAAACGTGAAAAATAATAGATACAACCTAGCACTCTATCCTATAGGGTTAAAATAATCCTTCCCCGTTTCCATAGGTGAGGTCATCCTATACTAGGAGGATGACTCATCCTATGTTATCCTATCCTCCTCTGAATGTGAACACATAACAATGTAAATGATGATTTTATCATATGTTGTCCTTCATCTTACACGCCAAATGCACCACTAATATGTAGTTTTAATGTAGTCAAATAATAGAAAATACATTTTGACAAAATGCCTTCAGTAGATCTAAGCCACTTGAATTTTCAACCCTTGTTTACTTTAAAATATTCTATTAAGTTTTTGCAAAATGAGTATCCAATCGCAGTGAAAAGTTTCATAATTGGAAATTTTAGTTTTCAACATTTTATTTGGTTACCAAACTGCAATATAGTGTTTGCACTGACATTTTCCCCCCATCATGTAGAAAGTTTGTGATAATCTCTAGTCTTGGATTCATATAAGGCAAATATTTGTGCTGACATGCAGCTTTAATTGTGCAGTTGGTGGCAAGACTGACAAAGGACATAATTGAAACATACCAAATATGCAATCCACAATTTAAATATTCAGAAGAATTGAACCCAAAGCGTTTTTTGACTAGTCCATCTGTTGGTGTCCTCAATGATGGCTATGACAATGTGAACTCAGATCTTATTCTGACGGTGAACTTTGTCTTGACGAATTTAGAAACACAGCGAAGGTTTGTTGCTGCTTTTTAAAACTTTCCTCATAATGCTCAACTGTAGTTTTTGAAGCATTTCTTGTGCATTGCTTTGTGAATTGATCTCACAAGGGCATTGTGGACTTTCTCATTGGTTGAATAAAGACTGTTGTTTTTTTTATTACGCCAAAAATTTTATTTGTGCTGCTGATAGGCAGTTGATCTTAAACTAAAATGGACTATTCTTGACTTTGATGTGTCAGAAGTATAGATCATCTTGAAGTGCATATTTGTTTCTCGTTCTAGTGGCCTTTAGCTTCTGTAAGTTATGACGACACCTGCTTAGTTTCTGGCTTTTGAACTTTGAACCTTAGCATGTTGGAATTGTTTGTACATCAGTGTAGATATGAGCTTTGGGTTTGTCAAGCTCGGATAACCCGTTTTTTCATTTCCAAATTCCACACTCCCTTGCCCCTCTTAAACCATGTTCTCCCTGAAAAGTTTCAGTTCTAATCTATGTATCTAGCTTGTTTGTTTCTACTTAAGTCTAGTAATGAAGAATACTTTTTTGATTCTGTCTTGTTTGCTACCCTGGCAAAATGCCTGTGTTTAGTATTCAACCATTCTGGGTTCTGAGGTAGAAATTTTTAGGAAAGGATCAGAGTTGGGGCTGGGTAAGGATGAGGCTGAATTGGGGCCATAGCTGACAGGTACAGTGCCAGCTGAAGCCTGACCTGATCTCAGGCATGACTTAGCCAGGCAAGTTGTTGCCTTGAGGGGATTATTCAGTTGATTGTTTGATGTGCTGGCTAGCATGGTTTTAGAACGAAAACTGTTTTCAAGGTGTTCTTCTATATACTGAATTGAATTCTATGGCTGTTTTTTAGTATGAATACGTTTTATGTTACATACACATCCATGGCAGGCAAGGTTGCTGTTGACTGGCATAGCTCAATACTGTGTTATAATATTTTACCTACGTTACTCTGGGTATCAATTTTGTTATAGCTCATTACTGTGTGCTAATATTTTACCTACATTACCTGGGTATCAATTTTGTTTTTCTCCTTAACGGGGCACCAAACCTGTTAGTTAATGCAATTCAGCAAATATTATCCATTACGAGAAACAAAGGATAACATACCATCTAAAGAAAGAAGTGGAAAAAAAAAAACTAAGAAAGGAAAGGAGCAGATATTATTCATGAAGGCTCAGGCTCAGGCATTTGGTAGATTTGTGGACTAGACAATGTGAAACTTGAAATCATTGTTGGTGGTCTATTATGATTTACGAATTAATTATTGAAGGAAGCATTTGCTCATGTTTCAATGATTATCTGTAGATATATTGTCAAAGATGTTCTTGGTCATGGGACTTTCGGGCAGGTTGCTAAATGTTGGGTTCCAGAGACAAGCAGTTTTGTTGCTGTGAAGATAATTAAAAATCAACCTGCTTACTATCAGCAGGCACTGGTTGAAGTTTCTATTTTGACAACGGTAAATTTAGTCTTCTTACAGCTGTTTGTATCCTTCTTTTAGAAATATTGGTAGTGAAACATTATTGTGTTTGCTTCATTGTTTGCCTTTTGCAGTTAAACAAAAAGTATGATCCGGAGGACAAGCATCACATTGTCCGTATTTATGATTATTTTGTGTATCAACGTCACTTGTGCATTTGTTTTGAACTTCTTGACACAAATCTGTAAGTAATTTTCTTGTCTTACAATGAAACAAGATGCATCATTTGTGAATTTCTTTTACCCTGTGCATAGACGCATTTCTTATAGATTTTTTTGCAGCATGTTCTTGACAATTTCACCCTGATCTAGGTATGAGCTTATCAAGATAAATCATTTTAGGGGTTTGTCATTGAGCATTGTTCAGCTGTTCTCGAAGCAGGTGTTTGCAGTTTGCTTATAGCTGAACTTGGTTCTGTGCTGAATATTGATTGGACTAACTGTAGACATCACTTTCTGATTGTCTTTTGACTTGCATCCTGTACTTGTGATTTTATATAGATTTTGCGTGGACTGGCTTTGTTAAAAGATGCTGGGATAATTCATTGTGATCTAAAGCCAGAAAATATTCTTCTGTGCACGAGGTGAGTTGCTTTTTCAGGATTTGTCTGGATTACAACCTTGTAATATATATTCTGTATGTTTTTCTCAGTGAAGCTTGATATTTGTGTCCTGAAAATAACAGTGTCAAGCCAGCAGAAATTAAAATAATTGACTTTGGATCAGCTTGCATGGAAGATCGGACTGTTTATTCCTACATTCAGGCTTGCATCTATACCTACCACGTGTCTTACTGTTCATTGTGATAATGCTCAGGAGGGTTTTATAGCTGCATTTTCTTATTTTCTTTTGCAGAGCCGGTATTATAGGTCTCCTGAAGTTCTTCTTGGATATCAGTATCCTTTTAATACAAATTTATAGCCGTATTCTTTTCTATTTCTTGATTCCACTTTCTGCTTTTGTCTTTTGGTCAACCATGGTGTTGTTTCTTTCCTTCTAATATATCTTCTCATGTTAAATTTCTTGCTGGACTGGAACTTGGGTGGGATAAACTTGAGCAGTAGTTAGTTTGATCTAGTCAATCCTCAGGTTTAAAATGAACCTTTATAGTTCAGGGTAATTAATCGTGTGAAAAAATTTAACCCAACTTGTGAACAGTGCTTGGTACACTATCAGTGCAAAAAATTGAACCTGACCTTTATATGGGTGTGAATATGTTGAAGTTAATATTTAATTGCTGCTGTCCTTTATTAGATCCTGTTCTCTTTGCTTCTAACATGTTTTGAGGTATGTATGTACTGTTTTGTCTATTATAACTATCATATAAGGAAGTGTATAAAATATCAAATTTTAAAGTTTCCTTATCCCAGCTCAAGCAATTCTGTCAAACTCTTCCTACTCCATCAAATTTGACAGGCTTGGTACTTGAGTTAAGCATTGCAGATCTGAAACCCAATATAGTTGGATTCCACCTTGAATAGATCGTTCAAAACCTAGTTTTTGCTTCACTGCTTTCATCTTATTTTACTCATTGAGTTATTTCATATAATACCGAGCAACAAGAGATGAACAAAAAGAAAAGAGATAAAGGTAGGTCTGCATTCATTGTTATCCCTCAGAGCCTTCTACTGCCTGAATGATAACAATTGATATAACATTTGAAACTCTATCTAAATTGGCATAATAACTTATTTGTTTAAATTTCTGCAATACTATTAAGATCTTTGTATTTCTATATGAAGATTATCTCTCTGAAATAATGACTTAAAAGATTCAGTTCTGTCATATTGCTGTTCTCTTTAGCATGCCACAACCGATATAACTTTGCATTAATCACATATCTTCAAACTCTTTGGAAGTAATAATTAAAAAATGCTCATTCAAATTAATGTTCAGTGGTTGTGATTCATTATATCTTTGATGATTAGATACCTTAATTCTGATTTCTGCATCTATGCACATGATCCATCAAAGAATTTTTTTTGTTTTAGTGTGAACCTTGATCCTTGTCCAGATATACGACAGCTATTGACATGTGGTCTTTTGGCTGCATAGTTGCTGAACTCTTTCTAGGGTTGCCATTATTCCCTGGTGCTTCAGAATTTGATCTTCTAAGACGAATGATCGAAATACTTGGGTATGCCTCTTGCTTTTGTGGTCATACATCTCTGGGTAACAATTTCTCTGTATTTCTAGGCATCATTTTCTTGTGACTGATATAGGAATAGCTATTCTTTAGTTCATTTGACAGGACAATAGCTGGGCAGGTAGTTGTCGTGTCCAAATGGGAGAAGTTATATAGGTAGTCACTTGTCACTAAATAAGCATGTGCATCTACCAAAATTCATACTCCCTCTGTCCTTTATTCTTTGGTTATCTTAGAAATTTCTGCATTTAAGGCAACAAGTATGTAATGCTTCACAAGTTTATAGATTTTCATAGTCAAAATTTCCCTTATAAGGATTGACAATTTTCAAGAAAAGAGAAAAAAGAAATTCCTTTGATGTTTCAAAATAGGAAAATATTTTTTGAACATCCCAAATTGATAGTTCAATCTTTCTCTCTCTCTCTCTCATATTTCCCTTGTCCCATTTAAAAGTAATATAATGACAGGTCAGATCCTCTAAGATCATTGTTCTCATGAATTAGCAAGATAGGCATAAATACTTATGAGAGAGATATATGTGCCTTATATGACATGAATTAATGTTGCAGTTCAGGATTTTAATACCTTGCTGATCAATGTGATTAGTCTAGTTTGGTTGCTTTTATATAAGAACCTCTGAATGATGTTCTAGAATTATGCATCTGTCCTTGAGCTTTTGGATATTGTCTTCTTTTGCCAGTCCCTTCCAGTGGGTGCAAAACTGACGACCTGTGAACACCACAGTAGATTTTTTGGTTCATAATCAAATTTTAGTTTATTTAACAGACTACCATACCTTATTTATGTATGTGTCAAAAGGAAAAAAGAGTTAAACACACCTTTACACACACATGCATCCTCTATTACACACACATCAAGTAATTTGAACTGGTGATCTGATTGGCTAGGGGATTACTCCAAAATAAATAATTTCTGTTCTCTAAAACAAGTAAATAGAAGAAGTGCCTCGGGACTGTGTACTAAAGTTACAATAGAACTTTGGGGTAGAATGTAGTCATTTAGCTGTGTTAATTCATTGAAGTTCAAATTTTACATAATAATGTGTGTTCCATCTTTAGAATTTTAGAATCCTTCCAGCTCAATTTTCCATGACCTATGTTTAATCAGTTGCTGTTTCTTAGTCGTTCTGCTCTTTTCTTGCATTGAATATAAAGTAATATCCTGCTTATCATTTTCTTAATATTTTCATTCGAACTTTCATTTCCAACTTATTTCTCCTTATCCCAAATAAACTTAGTTACTGTGAGATACTCGATAAATTGAAAAGTTGTTTTTAGCACTTGTTACCCATTCAGTTAGTTGTATTTTTTGCACTTGTTGTGAACAGCCTTTTATATATGGTTGTCATGTTGTAGAGGACAACCCCCTGATTATGTACTAAAGGAGGCAAAAAACACAAGTAAGTTCTTTAAGTGCATTGGGAGTATCCACAATACAGAGAATGGTGAAGTCTTCATTGCTGGCAGAAGTGCTTACCAAGCATTAACAGAAGAAGAATATGAAGGTGTAAGTGTTCATGTTTGCATTTTTTAAAGAAAACTTCATGAAAAGTAGTAAAAGGATAGAAATTTCTATATGACTGGATTTTGTTAATTTGTATGTTTGTACATCTCTTTTCAAGTATAATTTTCTTCTTCTGATAGTGATTGTTGCTTGTTTCTGTTCAGAGGGAATTAAAAAAGCCGTTGATTGGGAAAGAGTATTTCAATCATAAGAACCTTGAAGCAATTGTTACAAACTATCCTTACCGGAAAAACTTGCCTAAAGAAGATATCATCAAAGGTTAGCATCTAACTTCTACATTGAATGTACAGTGTGCCATGTTGGGAAAATGATTGTTCTGTGAGACTACCATCTGTTAAGAACTTACTAAGGCTGTTGCATAATGAATCTATAACAGAAAGTCAAATACGATTAGCTTTGATTGATTTCTTGCGGGGACTAGTTGAGTTTGATCCAGCAAAACGGTGGTCACCTTTTCAGGTAGTTGAAATTTCCCTCGAACCTTCTTTATCATGCTATTCCAACTAAATACGAAGCTATAGTTAGCATTTCAACTTCATTGTGCAGGCTTCAAAACACCCTTTTGTTACTGGGGAGCCTTTCACATGCCCATATAGACCTCCACCTGAGACCCCTCGCTTGGTAAGGGACCTATGCATGTAGCTCTGCAATTGAAGAGAGGTTGAACCTTATGTCAAATTTTATATTAACCATGTGGCTTTTATTTCAATGCTTGGCACCATTTGTACAGAGGATTTGCCTGGCCCCTTCTGATTTCCATGGTGATTGGGTTGTTTATTTTTAGTTGATTGGTCATTTATGTAATCTTCTGAACACTGGGACAATTTTATGTTATATTCTAGGCACTTTTGTCTTATTTTTAAAAAGTTGTAATAAAAGTTCAAGGTTGTTGAAAAATAATTTGACATATAAAATCTTATCCTTAAAACACGAAAGAAATATAGCAATCTTTTGATGTAATTTTAATTTCCATTTTACATCTCTCTCTTTATATTGTGTCTGTGCACCTAAAATTCTTTGAGGCGTGTGAAAGGTTGGCTTTATTGGTCTTCTTGTGGGTTGAGCTGTTTTTCTGTTATAGCAATCTGCTTTTGTTGGATCAGAAGCTGTTTTTTTTGCTCAAGTTCTTCTAATGTAAATATTGGCTCCCCTTTATGGCTTTACAAAAAGGATGCCTTGGCTTTGACAGATAAAGAAATTACCCTGGTTTCTGTGAATCTATACAAAGAGAACAAATCCAAGGCATGTCCTTGATTTACGACAACTTTGTTTTCTTTTCTCTTTTTTTTTATTCTTTTAAATAATTTGTTTACTGGTGTTTCTTCTGTTTTAACAGTCAGTTTGGTTTCATTAGGATTCCCCTGCCACATCAAATTCTTTTGTTACGAAGAAATTTGGTTAGGAGTTTATGAAGACATTTGTCAGCATTAGTATTATTAATAATCTGTTATTTTCTGGGCAAGAAATAAAGGAAATGATATTTAACTAATGTCTGGTGGCTTTTTGGTTTTTGGTAGCCTGTTGCTCAAAACATTAAGGTGGACCATCACCCTGGTGGAGGGCATTGGTTTGCGGCTGGTCTTTCCCCTAATGTGAGCTTCTTAACAGTTCAGCATTTTTATTACTAGATTTCCTGCATTGTTTTAGTATCAGTCTTATAATGATATATATTTTTCCTTGTGTAGATTCCAAACAGGAACAGAGTTGCCTTCCATAACAGCCCACACTTCCCGATGGTGCCATATGGTCATGCTAATAGCTATGGTAGTATAGGAAGTTATGGTAGCTATAATGATAATGCTGGGCTTGGAAGCAGCTATGGGAGTTATGGAGATAGTAGTAATATGTTTGCATATTATTCACCTGTTGGCCCATCTGCAATGAACGTGCATTCACAAGGTGGTGCATCAATGCTTGGAAGTAGTCCTGATGCTAGACGGAGAGTTATGCAGTACTCTCATGGGAATGGACTTGGTGTGAGTCCATCAGCTGGAAACTTTGCACCACTTCCCCTTGGCACCAGTCCCTCACAATTTACTCCTCCAAGCTCCTACGGTCAAGTTTCAGGTGGCTCTCCTGGACATTATGGTCCTACTTCTCCTGCAAGAAACAGTTGTCAGGGATCGCCTTTAAGTAAGATGGCTGCAGCTGGCCAGTTTAATAGAAGAAAAAGTTGGGGATATTCTGGAAGTTCCCAATCTCAAGAGAGTTCATCATCATCTAATTGGCAAGGACAAGTATCTGACGGCACCACTTCTAGCCAAGCTGAGGCAAACTCTCAAGTGGGCAGTGGTCTGCCCTGTCATATACAGTCAAATTCTAACACAGCCAACTGGAAGCAGCAGCGAGGTGGCATTGGAATGGCTACAGGTTACCCAGTCATTCAGAACATACCCAACTCCTTAGGACTTGGTTCTAATGTGCAACTGCAGCATGGCACTGGAGCAGCTCAAGACAAGACAGAGGCCAGCATGTCCCTGCCTGATCCTGGAGATTGGGATCCAAATTATAGGTGAGTAGAGAACTTGAATTTGCAGTCTAAACTCTAAACAATGTTCATCGAATATTATGATATATTTATCTCCTAGCTTTGTTGTATGTGTTATTTTTTTATGAGAATGGTCTTTATTCTTCTTTACCCTCTCAAAGTCTAGTTGGGTGCCAACAGATGGGGCTCGCAGCTTGCAGCAGCCGACTGCGTGACGGGCCTCTTCTGCAGACTGCATTAAGGGTGGAGACCATTCCTTAGTATACTGTTATCTAGTTTAGAAGCCATTTTTATCCTATTTAGTTCACTGACACTTTCCAGTATTTCCTTTTTTCGGTCATGCTGATTTTATGCATTTCTTCTGTATAGATTGCTTCTTGTTATAAAATACTAGTAAGATAAGGGATAGAGAGAATGGGAGCCATCTTGATACACAAAGTATATAAGCTGTCTCTTCTATATTTATTATTGCATAATGTGTTGAAGAAGATGGTAATAAATTACCTCTGAACACTTTTCCTTTAGTGAGGAGAGTAGTGCCTACACATCTTTGAAAATGGTTCTTGCAAATGGTACACAACTTATGGTAGCATGTCATAACTTGCTTCTTTGTACTATGTTCTAACTAGATCAAGGACCTGAAGTTGCATTTCATGAAATACTGGGTTGTTGGCTCAATATTTTACTGCTTGATTATAGTAAAATACTTATGGGTGTTTTATCAGAAATCCCATATGCTTCCCTGTTCCTAAAAAATTTTACATGCTGCATCAGGGTACTCCTAAACCAGGTCTAGTTGCAACATTTAGCTTCTTGCTGCTTCAGTAACAGAGTTGCCTCCTTAATAATTGCAAATATGAAAGACAAGCTCTTAAACTTTGTAAAATTGTTAAGTTGCGGAATTGTTTCTATCCAGATTGCTCTTCATTTTAGGTCATTTATCACACCCCCCCCACCAAAAAAAAAATTTCATTTACACATGCCTCTTTTTCTGTAGGTGGATGTGTCATTTGCCAGTAGATGAAAATTCTCCTTTTTAGCATACCTTTTTTTTTAAATTATTATTATGAGTAACACTAGATTTTTGTCATGCTTATCATCATTGTATGTCTATATTGTTATTCCAGATTATGGCTTTGGTGTTATATCTCTGAAAACCACTTTTGGTTTCAATATCAAACTAATTATTGAAAGTTTTAGGAATTTTTGCCTGCTGTTAATAGGGATTCTAAGAGCTTTTAGCATAGACTTTTTGCTGTGATATTTGTTCTATGATCTTTTAACTTCTTATATTGCTTGCATTTGTTTCACTACAGTGATGAGCTTCTTCTGCAAGAGGATGGATCAGATGAGAGCTGCATAACAGCTGAGTTCAACAGAGGAATGCATATTGGTTCGGCTGATTCATCTGTTGGAGTTGGAAGATTCAACCGTGCTTTAACCACAAGCTCAAATTTATCAATTCAAAGGTAGTTGCATATCCTTCTTCATGAGTTGGCTAACAGAGGTTTAATCCTTTTACTCATGCTTGAGGAGAGAGGGGGAAAAGTTGACAGAGGAAGTGGATATCAGTTTCCCTCAGTTGAGTTAGTTGCAAGATAAATATGTAAAATTATTTTTTGTCATATTTTTCATTTGTCTTTCGATATCATGTCTGGTTTTGCTTATAGCTGTGGCTTTTGTTTCCCCTATTAAACGTTATAGTCCATTTTTATCTTTCACATAATTGATGCAGCCAAGGTGAGTTGTACATTGTGGAGATGGATATGCACTATAATGTTCAAATATCTGACATACATGAGTGGAGCTTTTGTTTTTTGTTGAAGTATTATCTTTACTGTTCTTGACTTATTTCTATATTGTTTGACAGCAGACAAAATGGACCTGTAGGATTTTCACATATAGAAGTGGGTAGCCCTCCTTCTGCTAACGATCCACATGCTGGATATCCTCGTTTTATATCAAAGCATTCTCACTTCATGCCACATATGACACAAAATTCTCCAAGTCGTCTGGGGCAGCAACCTGTTCAGCGGTTCAATCATGGGAGATCTACTGTTGCTCGGGGTAGTGAATGGAATCACATGAAAGTTCAGCTCCCTCCTTCCAGCTTTAGTTCTGGGGGCCAACGTTCTCCTGGAAATAGTTCATTCAGTAATGGCATGCCATGGGGTACTTCCTTCATTCCATCAAACTACTCTGGTTACCTAATACTTTGCTAAGTAATTTCATAGAGTTGTTGTGTCAAAATATGTAATTATTGTTGGATAATTAAAGGAACAAAATGAACTGATTCCATTTTATTTTGATCATGCCATTGTTAATGTAGGGCGTAGGACCAGTCATCCTGTGGCAAATATTCCGCCAGCATCTCGTGGAAGAAAGGACTATGGAAGGATTGCCTAATGTTGGAATCAACTTGATTTTTTGCAGTGTGGGATTATGTATTGGGTGTTTGGCAAGAAATTTGTACTCAATAGTTCACTTAACTAGTGAGCTCATTCTAAGCAAATGCTCATCTGGACCATGCTCATTCATTGTGCTTTGCATAAATATAATTAATGGTGGTTGTTTTGCTTGTCATCCAATCAATTGAAACAAAATTGCTATATCTTTTGGCTATGATGCTTTACTGCTCTTGTTCCCTGCTTGTATTTCCAGAATAGGAGATTTCTAAAGTACTAATTCTGAAATTGTTTTTTAATCTGTTTGAGGAATCTAACCAGGTTATTGAGGTATTCAATGCAGCTGCTGCCAAGTAGACAAGAGGAAGTTCAGGTCTGAGCCAGTGTCTAGATGTTGGAGTATCTAGTGGTAGAGTAGAAGGCATAGCTGATTGATGTTGAAGCTGAACTCCTTTCTTTCATGATGTGTAAACTCTTGGCGGTAGGGAAAGTGAAGTTTTTGCTTGGGATAGAAAACAGCTACTGTGGAGATTCTTCGAGCTACTAGCATTACCCCTGTTTCTGTATCTTACTGTATATTAATTGTCTTCCAGTCATTTGTTGACAAGATAATGTGAAGTAATGTCATTGTATGGACATTTTGGGACTGGATTAAGAATTTAGATTAACATATTATGGCCTAGTTTTACTAAGATTTGTTAACCAACAATGTACAGGACACATCTTTATAACAAAACCAATAAGAGAAAGAATATTTATTGTACGTTATTGCTTGATGACAGGAATTTGTGATATGATGCTGGGGCATTTGTTTCTGTCGTCTGCAACGCAAAGAATGCTGTTTTTCTGTGGAGATTATAGTTGACTTTTCCCTGTAAACATGGCGGGTATCACTCTCACATGGCAGCATGTGCTCAAAGAGATAGATTATGAGGTAACTTCTTCAAAAAAGAATTAAAAAAACGATGATATCATGGATTTAAGTAGGACAATAGTAACTTGGTGATCTGTATATCATGGATCTTTGCTGTTAGAGGTGAATATGAATCAGGGTGGTGGGTTTCCATGTTGGAAATGAAACCTGGGTTGCTTTCAGGATTAACGCTCCACAAAAAACACATTGATCCCACGCCTGCAAAGATTTTGACAAATCTTGTTTATTATTATAAACATAAATACTATTGTTTTTGGGTTTTGGGTCAGCCTCGAAGCCCATTCGAGTTAAAGTCTGAAAATGTGGGCGTGCAACGATCTGGTAGGGAGGCCCAGAATCAGATTCAAACAAAATAGAAGCGAGACGCGCGTGTGAAGCACGCAATTAGTTGGGGAAGGAGTTAAGGGGAAGTGGGACCCACCCTTTCATCGATATTTGCCCGGATTTTGCCGTCAGTTTGTTGGTGATGTGTGGTAACCAAACCCATCCACATATGTATATCTAACAGATTAAAATGGAATTTTAAATAAAAGAACAAAAAAGGAACAGAGAAGAGAGAAGCAAAATGGCAAGCTATGCACCACTGAAAGATGGACCCAATATCTATAGTAGCCAATAGAATCTCTCCTTCCAATATCCTTTTTGTCCATTTGGCATTCTCTTTTCTTCATTTTATCATAAATTAAATCCCACAGTTTTATCAAAACCAACGTAACAAAATAAATTTATAAACCCAAATAATTAAAAAAAAAAAAAGGGAAAGGTTGTAATATTCTGTGGAAGACAGGTTCCAACTGCTACAACCTCTTCTTTTGCCAACTGTTTAGTTCCCACTTCGGAACAACCGTTCTGTTTTCTTCTTCTTCTTCTTCTTGGTTGTTTCATTTCCTTCTTCTTAAGCTTATAGCTGGCAGTTTTCTTAAGTTAAGGTAAGCTTAGTAACGACCCTTTACACAACTTGCTCTTTTCCTTTTGTTTCTTTGGATAAATGTTCATGTTTTTTTTCTTTTTACCAGTACATGGATTTGGGTTGTTGGATTTTGATGTATTTCTTTTGTTTTTGTTCATAAATACAAGTAAAATGGCATAATTTAAGATGGAAGATATGGAAACTTGTTCCATTTGTAGTCGTACTCTGCCAGTACGTTCGATGGATATAAAGACTAGCCTTTTTAAAATGAATGAACTTTGTGATTCATTCATCCAATCTGGTGCAAAGAAAAGTTGGGTTCTGCCTCAATATTGATTTTCTTTGTCTTGGACAGTGATAACATTACAATTCAAGAGATAACTGTATTGTTTGTGGCTAGTATCTGTTCATGAATTCAACAGCATACTCTACGAATGTAAGATCGGATGGTTTACAAGCTTGAAAATACGAGTTGAAAGTTTTGGTAATTTTTTTTTCTCAAAAGAAATGAAATAGTTTTGTGGATATCTTGAAAGGGTATCTGTTTTTCCAGTTTCTTTGTTATTAACTAGTTTCAAATCAGTTATATTTGTGTTCACATGGTTGTTGATCCTATTCTTTAGCATGTCTGCCACATGCTCTGATATTCTCTTTCAGTTTGTTTAAGTTTTTAAATTTTTTGTTTGTTCAAGACATCGTGAGCTTCATCTTTCTGGAATCTACTTGAATCAGATACATCCTTATGCTACCTATTTGGGAAAAAGATTCCTTTATTCTTTTACTTTTTTAGTTTAATTTCCCATTAGCATATATTTTGCATTTGAAAAAACTAATTCTAACATTTTTTTACCATTTTTCTTACAGATTGTCTTAAAGAGATTAAGCATACAAGACAACAAGTTTGTTAGCCTAGCCGCCTGCAGAATATGCTGTTGAAGATTTATATGAAATTGTTTTAAATTGACAAGCTTGTTAAATTGTGTGATGGTAATTGTACCAACGTGAGAAGGAGCTGTATGATGGCCACAGCTGCTGTGATTGGACTTAGCACTGGAAAGAGACTCTTGAGTTCTTCCTTTTCTTATTCTGATATCATAGAGAAGCTCTCTTATGCCAATGATTATGGATCTTCACATCATCAAACTTCTTCCACAAAAAGTTTAATAGTTGCAAAAAAAACATCTAACTGTAACCAAAGCCTTCCATCATCCAATCGGCGTACGCAGTCAATTAAAGCTCTCAAAGAGCATGTGGATACTGCCTCCATTGTTTCAACTGCAGAGCCTTTGTTTCAAGGAACCAATGACTTAGAAGAAGAAAGCTATAACCTTGACTGCTCTGTGGAGGCTCTTCTTTTGCTGCAGAAGTCGTTGCTGGAAAAGCAATGGACTCTTACTTTTGAGAGGACAGTGTTCACTGAATCACCTAGTAGAAAAATTCAGAAGAAGATACCTGTTACTTGTTCTGGGGTGTCTGCTCGGCAACGGAGATTCAATACAAAGAGGAAAATTCTGAGCCAAAATAAATCAATCATACAACCAAACGCTAAGCAGCTAAGATCTTTGATCAGTCCAGAGCTGCTTCAAAGTCGTTTGAAGGGTTATGTGAAGGGTGTAGTAAGTGAAGAGTTGCTCAGCCATGCAGAAGTTGTGCGCTTGTCAAAGAAAATCAAAGCTGGACTTTCCTTAGAGGAGCACAGGTTAAGGTAATGGTATATGACGTGTATTAGATTAATCATCGAATTTAGAAAATTATTAAATTCTTGAAATTATTTCTAATTGTTGTGCTGAAATTCTAGACTGAAGGAGAGACTGGGATGTGAGCCTTCTGATGAACAGCTTGCAACTTCCTTGAAGTTTTCGCGTGCTGAGTTACGGTCAAAGTTAATTGAATGTTCTTTGGCAAGAGAAAAATTGGCAATGAGCAATGTTCGTTTGGTTATGTCGATAGCTCAAAGATATGATAACATGGGCGCTGAAATGTCCGATCTTATTCAGGTAATTAACTATATCTCTGGCCTTACATATATGATAAGATAATCTACTGATACTATATCAAATTGTTGATTTTTCCTGCATTATAAAACTTTTTCCAATTTATGTGCAGGGTGGTTTGATTGGATTGTTGCGTGGCATTGAAAAATTTGATTCTTCAAAGGGATATAAGATTTCAACTTATGTGTACTGGTGGATACGTCAGGTAATGCTAGTCTGAGTTTGTGAATAAACATCGCAAACGATACAAAATAGATCTGATTATGTACAACTGATTGATTTGTCTGTGTTCGTCATCACCTTCAGGATTTTACTCTAAAATGAATGAAAATTTCTAAATTTATATTATCATTCCTGAAAGAGCAAGATCCATGAGATTGTCAACAATAATGTGTTATCCATCTATGTTATCATTTCTGCTGTAGCCCAATCCTTCCTATGCAGAAGCTTTCTGATAAACCACTGGTGCCATCAGTTTCTGAAATAAGAAAGAGAACAACCCATTTCTCTGTTATTTCCATTTGTGCCTAGTCTTTCACTTCTTGTCTTCATCTTTCTGGGTGATATGTAAGTCACAAACTTAAGGAAATAGGTTTCTGCAACAGCCTTTTAGGGATAGAAAATAAAGAATACTGATCTCTCTCTCTCTCTCAAGATTTTATATTCCTTAAAGTAAGGTTAAGTCTTCATATATTAGACCCTCTCAAGACCCCTCAAAGTGAGAGTCTCAGCCATCCTTTCAGGATTTAACCTGAGATATAAATCTACTCACAAAGTTCCAAGACCTAGTCCTCTTAAAATAAATTCATTGTAGACGTTTCTGTTTTGTTTTGTACTTTATATTACGTACTTTATAAATTTGTTTTTATCTTATTATGATTGTACAAAATCTAACATAGTTCACACTTTATCTCAGGGTGTTTCTAGAGCATTAGTTGAGAACATAAGAACATTAAGGTTGCCAACGCATTTGCATGAACGACTGGGATTAATCCGAAATGCAAAAATCAGACTGGAAGAGAAAGGAATTACACCAACTATTGATGTAAGTGACTTTCATTACTGTTGGAAAAGTAATGGAAATTTATTCACTTAATATGAACCGCACATGATTGCATTTCAGTAAAGTCTGAGTAGTCCAGCCAATCATTATATTAGCAAAATAAATTTGGATGTTTAATTTCTGTGTCTGTGCTTTACCATATTTAAGTTTTTTTCTATTCTCTCAATGGGCCATCATTAGTTATTTGTTCTATTATATTTTCAGAGGATTGCCGAGAGCCTGAACATGTCTCAGAAGAAAGTTAGGAATGCTACAGAGGTACTATTTGTTTAAAAGTTGTTTTCTGTTGAACTATTGCGAATTATTGTTTCATCCTCGAGCTATAATTTCTTGAAAATGCAGGCAGTCAGTAAGGTCTTCTCACTTGACAGGGATGCATTCCCCTCTTTGAATGGTCTTCCTGGAGAGACTCATCATAGTGTAAGCTCCCGTTTCAATTTATATGAACCAACTGGAGAGAACATTAATTCTCCTTATGCTTCTTTCCTGTTATTTACTATTAACCTATTTTATCTTTTCAGTACATTGCAGATAACCATGTAGAAAACATTCCATGGCATGGAGTCGATGAGTGGGCACTCAAGGTAAATTGAATAATTTTTGGTGCACAGACTGAAGAATAGAGAGCAATACTTTTTATAAAAAACAAATCAAATGTGATTTGTTCAGAAAAGAAATCATTTTAGAGGCTCATAATGTTTTCTATTGACAAATTAAGGTTCAACAAGCGGCAACTATTCAAATTATTCAAAATTTCTAGTACTTCTTTATTTTAAGTCTGGCCCAGTCTCTAGATCACAACTCCTGATGATTCTTTAAAGCTCAACCACTGGCTCTTATGACTCAATTTTCTCATACTGTAGGCCTAATCTTAGCGCATTTTTGTTACTTGAATCTTCCTGTTCAGGTATAAGTGTCAATACATATTGAAAAGGCCACAATTGGGTTAAAAGCAGAAGCAACTTGGATTTGGAACTAGAAAAACTACATTCTATCTGAATGGTCGTTGTGTAGGTTTTTTTTTTTCTTTTTTTCCAGAACAAAACCTTTTTGTTGGATAAGCAGGGGATATAGGAGATTAATATCATGGCATAATATGTATCATCTTCTAGCTTACTTTAATTCTCTTTTGGTTGTGCATGGACACATCTGTATGTTAACTCCTTGTTTTCCAACAACTTTGGGCATATAATATCGTATTCACATTCTACTCAAAGCGAAAGTGACCCTTACTGATGTTGTATTTGCAGGATGAAGTGAACAGACTCATTACTATAACGCTTGGAGAACGAGAAAGAGAGATTATACGCCTTTATTACGGTCTAGATAAGGGAAGTCTTACATGGGAGGACATTAGTAAACGGTGAGCACATACATAATTTTCTTATTTATTACTGACAAGTGGTCATAGTTAAAAGAGTACGAATGATATATTGAGTGCAAAGCTTAATTGTTTCACTAGTCAGATCACCTGCATGTCTCTGTCATTAACAAAGCAAATATCACAGATATTTATCTCTTAAGTCATAGGGATGGAACTCGAAAATAACAATATAAAGAAATATAGGAACGAAGGAAAAGAAAGCAACAGAAGAAAAAGGACATTTTTGTTAACATCTACAGATTCTTTTAGCCATGCGTCTTATTTGTTGAATTTGTTAGCATTCACCGGCCTGTGTTTCTGGTAATAGTTTTCTTTGGTTTCATTTCACTTTCAAGTTGGTTTGACATGTTCTTTCGTTATATTTTTCAGCATAGGTTTGTCCAGAGAGAGAGTCAGGCAAGTTGGACTTGTCGCGCTGGAGAAACTAAAACACGCAGCGAGGAAGAAGAAAATGGAGGCTATGCTAGTAAAACATTGATTTTGTATGCTTCAACATACACATGGTAAAAAGACTGTATATAGATACAGAAAGGAAAATTGTATCTTCGATTTATTTTTCCTATCCAGAGTAACTATAGTTCGACAAACTTCCTGTAACACGAGTTCATCAAACTGATTTCCTGTACGTTGGAGCGAAGAAAATTCTTTTTTATGTATTATATTTATGGAGACAATAACTGGTTGTGCGTCAAAATTTTCATGCAGTTATGATGATAAACAAATAGTTTCAGTGCAGATATTGAGCTTCCCTTTCATCAAATATTTACAATTTTATATTAAATGTATAATGCTCTGGTCCAGAAAGAAGAGGAGGAATAGGCATGAGTTTGGAAGTACTTGTTTGCCTTCATTGATCCTTGCAACCAAGATAAGGTTCTTTTCTATTTGGTTTAGTTTTTTTCTAGCTTAAAAATTATTATGAAGTTCTTATAAAAATAATAACTTTTAGATTTAAACTAAAATTGTTTGGTAAATTTTTTTTTATAAATTATAATTTTGATTAAAATTATCATAAAGGGTATTTTTTTGAGAAAGTTATATTTTAATTATTTTTAATAGATGAGGTTATTTTTAAAACAAAAATAATTTTTTTTATATTTAAAAAAAAAAGAATTTTTTTTTTAAAAATTTTTTAAAATTTATATTTAACCTGATTTTTACTTTTAATAAATAAATAAGTTAAAAAAAATCAAGTCAAACAAGCACTAAGCCTTGATCCTTGCAGTCATGATGTGGGTGCTGGACATAAGGTTTCTCTTTGTTAAGAATCAAACCTTGCTTTAATCACTCCAAAACTTGATCATAAACTAGACACAGGCTTAATGTTAGTGCAATTATAGACTAAATAGAAAGAGAAATACAAGGGAATTTTATATTTGAGATCACCCCTCAACATCAAATTCAAAAGAAAAATTGAAGCAAGAAGATAATATATATTAAAACTTTATAGAGTCCTTAATCAACATGCATGAACTAACTAATGCTGAAAAGGAAAAGAAAAATACAATCAAATCCTTGATTCTAGTTTGTCAGCCTTAACAAGAATATTTTCTTTCGCTAAAATCAAACGATCAGCTGTCTTGAAATCAAAATTACACGAATGTTCCTTGGGATAACGATGAACACCGCATAAAACTTTCCCGCACCGACAAGAAAATCCCATCAAACCAACCTTCTTGTTGCAGCTTTCACACCGGTTCTTCAATTTTGATGGAGTAGGAACCGATGAAGAATCAACGGAAACAGAAGGGTTTGGTGCAGCGGAAGAAGGATCAACTTTGACTTCGGCTGTAGACTTGGAAATCTGTTCTTTGAGGAAATCGTTGTAACACTTGGAACACAAATTCTTGGTCTGCGACGAACTGTAGAAGCCGCAACCCTTTGCACACAGGGGAGGAAGATCAGCGTTAGCCATGCGGTAGTTTCTTCTTCTTTGATGCTAATATGAAAAGTTCAATATGTGCAGGTGAATGCTATTAGAGTTGCTATGTACATTCATACATATAGGCTTCCTATTGAGTCATAGTCCTTATTGAATATGGATTTGGATTTATTAAGTCATAGTCCTGGATGAATTTGGATTTGTATTTAGTCAAATCATGAAGGAGTTATGTATAAATATGGTAAATAATTAGTAATATATTAATTACTTATATTTTAATGAAATTTGAATAGCTAACTTGGAGTAGGATTTGTGCTGTTGTCTCAACCTTTATAGTTATTATTAGTTGGATTGAGGGCGGTACACATATCCTCAATTCTGAATTGTGTTGCATGGCTGAAGAAGTTCGACCAGTGACCTTCAAAGTTGCTACAAATGAGTTAACAAGCTTAATCTTTTTTATATTATATATTAACAAGCTTCATTAATACCTTTTGCATTCTATAATAAAATGTACACAAATAAACACTATGTAATATATATATATATATATATATATATAGAGAGAGAGAGAGAGAGAGAGAGAGAGAGAGAGAGAGATTTTATTTAAATTTCAAATTCTTGATGAGAATTGATCTTAATTAATTAGAGAAATTCAAATTATAAGATTTTTTTAAAAATTGAACTTCAAGTACAAAAAGTAAAACTTGAATCAAAATATGAAATCAAACTTCCAAATATAACAAAACATGAATCAAGCTCATACTCAACTCCATGGTTATATGTTATTTGTTTAACTCAACTAGATGTGTGTGTGTATATATATATATATATATATATATATGTTGTTGATGTATTTTTAAAATGAAAAGTTATATTTTTTTTATAAAAAAAGTTGTGACTATTGAAAAGTTAAATTAATTGAAAGATTATATCATATAATGTGATTACTGGATTATAGGTAATTTTTCATATAAAAAGCTATGTCTATTAGTAAAGTAATATTTGAAAAAACACTTTTAAATTCAAAAATTATGAAACAATTGAAAAATATTACTACTCAAAAGTTTAAATATGAAAAGTTATTTTTTTATATTGTACCTAAAAAGTTATGTCATAAGATATAAATGGTTGTTTTTTCATAACGTAATTATTGGAATATCTTTATCAGAAGATTATGTCTTGTAACATAGAGTTGTGTCTTTTATCACATAGAGATGCCTTAATGAAAGGGAAGAGATATTTGCAACCCTATATAAAAGACTTGTTGTCAACTATTTTGATGCATCTAACAAACAAAATAAAAATAGAAAGTCAAAAGTAAGAACCGTGTATATTTTGAATAAAAAAATTAAAAAATAAACATAAATATTTTGACTTTTTATTGTTTAGCAAAAATGTCAAAATTTCTTGTAAATTATATGCTGCAAAAAGTAGAGTTTAATGCCAAACAACGATGCAATCCTCAAGTATGTATAGCAATCTATCTTATAAGAGCAAGACGAAGTTTGATATTAGTTTTATTGTATCTATTGGCATAATTTCTCTTTGCACATCGAGTAGTAGAAGCGAAATAAGCTTTAAAGATAAAGTCTATTACAATTCCAACTAAACTTCATTTACACCAACATATATACATATACATATATATAAATATAAACATATAACACACAAAATTAATTAATTTTGAACTCCTTTTATTAAGTTGATAATTAATGATTCTAATTGATTAGAGAAATTCAACTAGTAGATAACTTTCTTAAATTGAACATGAGTATAGAAACTAAAACTCGAGCTCAAACTCAAGTAGGATACTTTATTATATTGATTAGGGTTTTGAGTCTGATAACAGGATGGTGAATTCATGTACTTTGTATAGTTTAACAGGTTGTTGTCATAGCTGTTTTTTTGTAAGCCATCCTAGGACAGTATTTACAGGAGGACCACCAATTGATAATTGTCTATTTTTATAAATAATAGTTCTATATAATGAGATGATCCACTTTAATCTTCAAAAAAAAATTATGTCTTAAATTAAAAAATATTATGTTCAACCGAGTCTAGTAGCATAGATTTGTATACAGCATGGGAAAAAAAAGTAGTTATAGGATAAATAACTAATTTGATGAATCGGATGTGATTGTGCATCCTTTCTTTGGAGATTTCGCAAAACTCTTAACCAATATGATCCATTAGCTACATCTATCGATCAGTAAAGTATCATGTTGAAAGCTCAATTGCCTTTAAATGTTCAAGGATTGCAATTAATTAACTTAGTTAAAGTTTAGCAAACCACTTGGAAAACCCTGAAAATGTCGACGCAGCAATAGACATGATCATCCATGTCAACATTGTGCCATATTAACAAGTTAAAAGAAACTTATAGAACTTTCTGACTATCAAATCTAATTATAATTCACCGATATAGCTTCTTAGCGGTCGACTAGAATCCAAATCTAGTAATAAAAATATGGACTCTAACTCTCTCTCTCTTTCTCTCTCTCTCTCTCACTCTCTCTTATGTATATATTTACTAGAACAAAAAAAGATTGAAAAAGCTCAAGGTTCTCTCAGAATTTTCTAGCATCAACCCAAGATTGGGAAGACAATGAAGAAGAAAGATGGTGAATGCTACTCCTCTATGTGTTAACGGTTGTGGCTTCTATGGTTCAGCGGAGACCAAGAATTTATGTTCCAAGTGTTACAAATTAGAGCTGTTCAAACAAGAGCTTTCCAACTCGGCCAGAACAAATGATCCTACTTCAGCTGCACCAAACCGTTGTGCTTCTGTCGATTCTGGTCCATCAAAAATCAAGAACAGATGCGAAAGCTGTAACAAGAAGCTAGGTTCGATGGGTTTCACGTGTCGGTGTGGCAAAGTTTTCTGTCAGGTTCACCTATATCCCATGGAGCATTCATGCCAGTATGATTTCCAGAAGGCTGATCGCCAAATTTTAGCTAAACAAAACCCTGTTATTAAGGGTGACAGACTAAAATCCAGGATTTAACTTTCTTTTTTTTCCTCTTATAGTAGTTTGTAACTGGTTAGTTTATGACTTTGTTTTCCTTGCTCTTGTTTCTGGTTATAGTCAGTATTTAGATAATCTATTTATTAGAGGGAAAATTGTTGTCTTGGAAGTTGTTATCAAATTTAGATTGCAAGTCTAGTAGTAGGGATAACAAGCTTTTTACCTGCTCAGATTAATTCTACTGATCTGGAAGGAATGAAGAATTTCCATCTTTACTATAGATGAAAAAAAATAAAGGGGAAAAGGAAACTCAATTTATTCTATTATATTTAATTAAAGAACAAAACTCCACTTCCGATGAATATGAACATCTTCGTAGCAAAGAAACCTCAAAATACAGACACTATTCTCGGGGAATGTCTTCCTTCTTCCCTTTGGGTTTGCATCACAAAATTCATTATGATGAATCCCAATTCAATGCAAAAATATATATATATATATATAATATACTAATATTTTTTATTTTTAATTATAATTATATATAAATTTATTAATTTTTAAAATAAATATTTCATCTTAAATTTGTAAACGATGTTAATAACTAAACATAAAATATCTAAAATACTTTTATTTTTTACTCTTTGTCTTTTTCTTAGGCTGGTCGACATCGTTTTCTTACACCAACCAACTACCCGTTTCCTCGAGCTCCCTTAGAGAGCACCCTACACTCTTTGGAGAGCACCCTTGGAGAGTTCTAAATTGAGCTCCCCTAAAACCCCAAATCGAGGGGAGCACCAGATCTAGTGCTGTCTTGGAGAGTGTCATCTCTCGCACTTAGTCGAAAAGAATTTTTTTTGAAGAAGAAGAGAAAAAAATTAATAATGAAAATTATAATTTATATAATGATAATTTTTAAAATTAATGAAGGATAACATTATCTTAGAAAAATTATCATGTCATCAACTTAGAGAAAGCGGTTAATTAATAGCAAGACTTATGCATTTAACAAAAATATTTTTTTGAGACAAAATATTCACTTTGAAAATTAATAAACTATATATAATTATGATTAAAAATTAAAATGTTAGTGTAGTTTACCTAAAAATCTAAAATATGTTGCAAAATGTTATTTGACTTATGCAGAAGGATTAAATCTCATAAATCTCATCCTTACACATTAGTTGATTGAGAAGGATGACAGATTATTCACATTGAGCAAAGCATTTTTTATTTTTGGAGTTTTGTTCTTGTTTTTATTTTGCCAAGTTATGCACTTGATTTTAGTTATTTACCAAATTCCAATTGGAAGGATTGGAGTTGGAGGGCAGTGAAGAGAGTTGAAAAACAGGGCAAAAGTGTAGTGCTACATAATGAGACTACTTTTTGTACTCGTGAACATAAACCAACTTCTGTTTTGCAGCTATCGAGTAGCTTCATGATATGACAATCTGATCACATTATTATCATCAAAAAAAAGGTTTAGCCGTATGGTGAATTTATCTACAAATCTAGACGAGCCAGGTCTCAGATGAATCCTACAAATAACAGAGTTTAGGGAATATTTGCATTTGAAGAAAACAACATAGCCTCCTGCTCCAGCTGAACAGTCATGTCTTTATTGCTAATGGTCAGAGCCTAGTTCCTGCTCCAGAAACAGAGTAGTCTCACATTCCACTGAGCTCCTTACAATAAGATGCTGTAATGACTAATGTCCCAAAAGGAAGTCAAATAAATAATCTTAAAACTGAAAACATCCAACCTAGCCGTTCCAGTGGCCTTGAGAGCAGGCATTGCTTCATCTTCAAAAACCAAGTTACAACTGCAACTTGTTACTCACATACACACACGTAGACACACAAAGGTAGAGGTCCTTGATATGTAATTATAGAACCAAGCAAGCCTCCTTAAATAAAGAACCAATGCTCACTAACAGTACTGCAAAACAACATATTTACAAGATCAGGAAAACACCCACATGCAAAAGGCATGGCTGTCCCTTTAATTAAGCATTGTCAAAAATTTAAGTCTCAATAATCAATTCCTATAACTGAGGGATAAAGGAGAAACTAACTGCTAGTGTTCTCAAAAATTTTCATGCATTACGCATTTCAACTCCATAACCAGAAAAACTACCAACCCCCTTTCAAAGGACAGTTTAAAACTCAAAAATACTTTCCCCTGCAGTGTCTCTTCTAATAACTACCTAAAACTCAACGTCTCCTTGCAAGAGAATTATAGTGCATTTTCAACAAATCATCAAGTGAGACCAGGGACCACCCATCCTCCTTTTGGGCATAAACCTTCTGGTTAAGCGAATCAACTATTACACTTATGTTACCAAAGCCATATATCTGTTGACCATTATGCATCCTGCCTGGCTTGGGCTTGAATAGTAGCTCATGTTGCTGTGCATAGGCCTCAACTACTTCCTTCAAACTCATCTCAGGAACACCATCCATCTGGACTGTAGTACCCAGGCCAGCTGCAACCGGCTGTTGCGCATGTGCAGCTGCTCTCTGCTGAGCCTCAAACTGCCTCTGCTCACGCACCTTAAGATACGTAACATTCTCTCTCAAACCAGGCTGCACTACTGGTACGTGGTCAGCAGCCTGAACCATCATCTCAAGACCACAATTAAGTTGGTTACGGATACTTTCATTTGCCAAAAGCTCCTGCGGCAGAAGTCCCTTCCAACCCATGTACCAATTTTTTATCTCCTCAAAGTCAGGTTTTGAACACAACCAATGATACAAAACCTGCAGCCACTTTACAAAGAAAAATTTCTCCATCAAATCAACCATGAGATGAATAGGAATTGCAGAGGCCCAAGACATAACCCAATAAAACTGATCAAGCTTCTGATCTGCTGGGTTTATTTGGAACTCCTGCAGAGCAATCTGCAACTTTGGGACAATATATTGACGCATAAGTTGTTCCCAGCTCACTGAATCAAACACAGTCTTCCAAGGTGATAGGATAGCATAAGCAGATGGATCACTTGGGTGCCAAGCATCAAGAACATTACTCAACTTCATACGTATGGTCTGATACAAACCCTCCAGCTTTTGTCCCAACATCAGCAGCCATGGATGCACCCAAACATGGATTGGAACAGTTTCCTTACGTGGGTTCCATGAGTCAACTGCTCTCGACAATTTTGGCATTACTACAGTATCCAATATCGTGTCACGAATAGAAGATGGCACCAACTTTTCCCACAATTCCAAAAATCCAAGCATTGGTTCAGGGTTCCTAGGCTCCCATGTGTTAATTCCAGATATTCTCACAGCTGGTAAAACAACTTCTGAAACCAGCTGACAGTAAGGTGTTGTTACATCCTCCCAAATGTCATTACTATCGTCTCTTTGCAATACATCCTTCCATGCAGATATCACCTCCATCCCATAAGATGGATTGTCAAGAGGATCCCAACCCTGAAACATTCTTATAAACAGAGGCAAAGCAAATGAACATGCAATGCAGGACAAGTTACACAGTTTATAATCATCAGCATAATTCCTCTGCAGATCCCTAAAACTCTTTTCAAGAGACTCCAAGGTCAGTTTTCCAGACGAGTTCTCTTCCTCAATCAGGCCCAGCACACTAGCAATTTGCTCCATATTAGCCAACTGTTGCTTCTGGCATGCAGCCTCAATCTCCAACTTTTCCTTTTCCTTTTGTAAGCTCAATGCTGTCTCCTTTTCGTTCCTTAAATCCCTATCAATCTTCTGAATATCAAGCTCTGCCAAGTCAACAATTAACTTCAAGTTATGCTGCAACTCGGGCAACGGAACATCATTCTCTCTTGCCTTCTCTTCTGCATCCAAATTCTCCAAGTTTGTCAAAACTCTAACCTGTGGCCCTCTCATATCAATCACCTTCTGAACAACTTCAACACCCTCTTCTTGCTTCTTCGCTAACAGCTCTTCCACCGTAACAGTACTGCTGCTTCTTCCTCCCCTTTGCATTCTTCGACCAAAGCCTCTCCTTCAGTCTCCCAACTGGCTGCTGACTCACACTCTTCTTCTCATCCAACTGCTGCAACCCTGGCAACTTAGCCTCCTTAAAATCGTTAAACCCCATTCCCATATTCTTTGGCCTCAACTTTGCTTCAATAGGAGCAACAATACCTTGCTCATTTTTTCAAGACCACCACCTTTATACCCCATTTTCTCAAGTAACTTCATCCCAATCCCCTTTGTGTGCTTCTCAAACCCCCCAACATCTCCATGCCCACCTCCAACCTCCCTTCTCCCTCCTAAACTTTTCTTCTCCATCCTCAACCTCTCCCTCTCTTTCTCTCTCCTTTGCGCCCCTTCCTTTATCTTCCTCCCAAAGGCCGTAGGCAAAAAACTATGATCATCATCCTCAACACCACCATCATTGCCATCACTTTTTCGCAAACTATCATTTCCACCAAAACCTAATCCTACGCCAGACCCCAATCCAGGCCTGCTATCATTATCGTTATCATCAAAAACATTATCATCATTCTCTACCTTAGAATTCTCATCAATTTCTTGGTTAGGCATTACAGTACCTGTGGAAACAAAGCTGACAGGCTTCGTCAAGTCAGGTTTTTTCCCGAATTCCTTCCTTCTCTTCCTTGATGAAGAAGAATCATCGTCTTCCGAGTCGGTATCAGACGCAAAAACACCGTAAAGAACATCATCTTTTGTCTGTGTCCGCTTTTGTTTGCGTTTTTTGTAGTAGAATTCACCGTTTATCCATTGCCCGTCTTCAAAATCGTTCTCCATCCCAAACCTTTCCATTTCCTGATATTCATCCATCTTTGATTGAAACCCACTTTTTCTGTTCCTTTCGCTTTATCAAAATCTGAAGGAAAAAGAGCACAAAAAAGAATTATAACCCAGAATTTAAAAAAGAAAAGGCCAAAAGAACCAAATTGCGAAATTCGTAAAAATACGAAAATTTAAAGCACGATATATGGTGGGAAACGAAGAGATTTTAGTACCTGGAATTCTCAGAGTAAGACAAGCTTCAAAAGTAAGTGTAAATTCGACGTGGGATTTTGATTTCTAGGAAGGAGAAAAGCAAGGGAGAATTTAGAGGGAAAAAATTGGGAAGAACCGACTTTGATTGGGGTTTTGCATTTTCTTGGTGTGTCGGGTACGGTTTCTAGGCTCCAACTGAATGACCCGGATTTGTTTATGGATTTTGGGTTGGCCCAACATTTTGTTCAGGTACATGGTTGGCCCAACCTGCTGATTTGCCTTAAACGTTATTTTGGTTTTTGGCATGCAGCATCTTGGTTTTTTTTTTTTTTTTTTTTTGCAACTGCAATATCATCTTTATTACTAATAGATATTATATTATTTTCAAATGTACCACTTCATTTAGATTCATCATCATCAAATTCATTATTCATTTTCGAATTGGTACAAATTTCTAATTTAATTAATTAAAAAATAATAAAAAGTTAAAACGATAAACAAATTATTTTGAAGCAAAAGGATTTTTTTTAATCATTAACTTTTTACACAAAGATATTACATTCTCAGCAAAAAAATGTTTCTTATAAATATAACAAAAAGTTAAAAAAACAAACCAAACAATCAAAACGAACTACATAAAATTAATATAAAATTGATTTAAACTCACACATGATGAGATTTAAATTTAAAATTTTAAAATTTCATGATTTATTTTTTGTCATCGAGAGAAAACCTCAGTGATAAACAAATAATAAATTTGATCAATAATTTTAAATAGAGTAATAAATGTAATTTTTATCTTTTGATTATTTTTTTAATGATAATCATCTTCGAGTTTGCATGAAAAAGGTATTCTAAAAAATTATGAATCTATAGCATTAAGTTGATAAATTACTAAAAATTTAAATAAAAATTATAAATTATATACTTACAAAATTAACCTTTGTATATATACATGTTGTATATAACTATAATACAATTTCCTTGAGATGAAAGCTGTATGAAACACAAATATTGAGAAGATAAAATCTGACAATTAACTGAAAACAAGATTCGATCCACCGCTTCCTTCTCGTACTTGCATGTAGCCTCGTAACGGACCCTGTCGTATACCACACTCGACATTAAACATCTTCACATGCTAATCTCACATCCCTTCGCACTCAAATAATATCCTATCACCTTCTACATCTTTCCACGTGTCACCTCTCGATTCCCACACTCCCCAATCGTCCCTCCAAAGGGCTCTTCTCACCTTCACTTCCCTTCTCAACTTCAATCAAAAACAGCACACGCACACAAAAAAAAAAGGTTAAACTATTCTTTCAATGGCTGATTCTTTGTTTTTCCCACTGGCTGCCAAGGCTCCCGGTGATCATTCTTCTTTTGTTTTCCGCAATTGCCCTTTTCCTTCTCGTTTATTGCCATCCAAGCCCTTCCCTTTGCATTTGAATGGGAGTAAGAATAAGTTGAATGTGTTGGCTGTGAGTCAGTACTCGCTCGTTTCGCTCCGCCACCGTGTCGGCCCGACTCCTGCTCTTGACTCCGACGTTCCTCACCCTCTTCACAAGGTATTTCAGAATTTAGAGTTAATTTTTTATTATCGAAAGAGAGTGGCAGTCATTGACAGTTGGTGACAGTTAATTGAAGCTCTGTTTGCGTGCGTAGCGAATGTGAAGTGAATTTTTGTTGTATTTTATTTTATTTTTTGTGTGGGTTAATACAAGTGAATCAAAATAATTGGGTTTTTTTAACTTTTCTTCAAAACTTATTATTTATTTATTTGTTGTTTTTTTAATCACTGAATTTTGAGCAGTCAAATAAGGCACTAAGGTGAAGCCATAGATTTTTGATAGAGTGATATATTAATTTAAAAGCGGTTTTCAATTTTGCAATGCCCCAAAAGTTAAAAAGATCAAATTTGAACGTTTTTTTTGTTTCTTTTATTTGGGGTATTCTCTGTTCTTTAGAGGAAAAACAGAGTCCACCAAAAACCTTAGCTTCTTTAACCCAATGCGGCGGGTTTAAGACAATTTCATGGATTCGAGGTTGGAGAAATCTGAGGAAAAAAAAAAGGGAAGGGATTTGGGATTTAAAGACTAACTGAATAGAGCTGAATTTGTTTAATTAGTAGAAAATTGTGTAAGTAGAGTTCAAATGTTTTAATAATTCTTTTTGTGTTTGTTGTGGAATTTGAAAGGGATCGGTGAATTTTAAGAGTGCAAAGATCTATGAGCAATGGGATTCATTGACAGCAAAGTTTTCCGGGGCGGCAAATTTACCATTTTTATTGCTTCAATTGCCTCAGATCATCCTCAACGCACGAAATCTTCTGGCAGGGAATAACACTGCCCTTTTTGCAGTACCATGGCTGGTAATGTACAATTACAGTTAGATTTCTTGTGGCTTATGTAATATTTATGTTTTTCTTTTTTTTTTTCTTTATTTTTGTTTTACTAACTTCTTTTGCTGATATCTGTGGGTTAAAGCAGATGAATAATCTTAGAGGGAGTCTGGCCCTTTTATCATTTGTAGTGGGGGCAAGATGCCAAATCTTCTTGCCTTTTTGCATTGGAAATATCCACACTAGCCCATGGACTTCAATGTCTTTAATCAGTATGATGAAACAATGAATTTGACATCATTCGCTGCTTAGAAGTGGGGGTAAACAATATATCTTTGAAGTGGGGATGAACAGTGTATCATGAATACAAGATAGATACTGAGTTTTGTGGGTTTTCTTGTGCAGTACCGTTTATGGCTTTTCCCCCTTTTAGTCAGCATGGCAGTACAAGAACCTCTATTTCTGACAAGGCTAAGCTTAATTTTATTGGTTTTGAGTCTTCATATAGAATATCTAACGGTTGAGAGTGTAATGTGCTTTTGTGGACTCATCACGAGAACCCACATTATTTGACGATCATATCCGTATTAGTCTCTTCTGAGGATTATGAGCTCTATTTTATATATGGAAATTTTATATTTTTAAAGTTTTATGTAATTTCGTCATTTATTTATTTATTTATTTTTTATGAATCAAATGAAGATGCCATTTTAGGAACTTAAGGAAGGGAGTGCTGTAAATGCAGGGAATGTTCACTGGTTTGCTTGGGAATCTTTCACTGCTTTCTTACTTTGCCAAGAGAAGGGAAAAGGAGGTAATTGTGGTGCAAACACTTGGAGTGGTATCGATATATGTGGTGATTACTCAGCTTGCAATGGCGGGAGCTATGCCTCTCCCACACTTTGCGGCCACTTCTGTTGTTGTGGGAGCTGGTCTCATTTTAAATTTTTTGAATTACTATGGTAAACTCAACGCAACGATCTGGCAATTTTGGGAAGATTTTATTACTGTTGGTGGACTGTCAGTACTTCCCCAGGTATGCTCTCAGTCCCTCTGTCTGCTTTTCTGCACACGCTTAAAAGGACAGATGGACATGCAAACTCAAACATGATATATTTACAGAGTAAAATATATTTATCTATTCCTCTTGGCCATTTAGCAGCAGTTTATTTATTTAAGCCTCTCACCTCCTTTTTAACAAATTTGATTACAGATAATGTGGTCCACATTTGTCCCATACATACCCAACAGTATCTTGCCAGGGGCAATAGCTTTTGTTGTGGCTGTAGCAGCTGTAATTATGGTAAGATCTATACGCTGCTCTATTATGATATTCTTGTCTGTTTCTATCGATTTTATTAAACTTTTGTCATTTATCATGAAACTGGTGAGCAATTAGACTCATACTTCCTTTTATGTGTTTTAAAACCCTCTTTCTTTGGCCTTTCAGAAAAAAAAAAAAAGCAAAAAAAAGCCTGTCTTTGGAAACTTGTTTCAAGATTAGTCTATTGACTTTAAAGTGTTAAGTTGTTTTTGTTTTTTCCCTTTAAGTTAAAGTCAATAGCTTTTGTTTCGAAATTTCTTGCCTTTCTTTTTGACAAACAAATATAGAAAAATAGGTACAATTGCACCCTTTTAAGTTGCATTTGCCAAGATTTACAGGCACGTATGGGCAAACTTTCAAAGAAAGGTGTCAAATTCGTGGGAGCTATTTCTGGATGGACGGCAACACTTCTCTTTATGTGGATGCCAGTTTCACAAATGGTGATCCTTGTTTGAACTTCTGTATCTAAGACTTTGAAGATATCAAGCAAAATTAATTAATCCACCTGCATATCTAACCAAGATTTGTGCTTCCTTCCAGTGGACAAATTTCCTGAATCCTGATAATATTAAAGGCCTATCAGCTTTTTCAATGTTGCTTGCTATGATTGGAAATGGACTTATGATTCCACGTGCACTATTTATTCGCGATTTTATGTGGTAAGGCACTTTATTTCTATCTTATTTATTGGTTTATTTCTATTAATGAGTCCAACCACATGCACATGACTGTGAGACCACAAACATTAATGTGAAAGACTGATTAGAATGTAGTATAAGTGACTTCAAACTCAACGGTTTTTGATTTCTGATGGTTATCCCTTTTTGGGTTGGCTTTCTGCTAATTTTTCATTACATTAATTGTCCATGCTTCTTACATGTTGGTTCAACTGACGTTGCAGGTTCACTGGTTCTACTTGGGCATCTCTGTTTTATGGATACGGGAATATTGTATGCTTATACTTGTAAGGAATTTTCAGATTTATTATGTTCATGTGCAATTTTTTTTTTCATGTTGCACTTTTATCATGAAGTGTTATATGTCGATGGTTTTGTCATCCCAGTTTCAACATCATCAGTCGGGAATTCTTCTTGGCAGCAACGGTCGGTTTATTTTCATGGATAGGTTGTCTCTTCACCCGATCTAACTTATAATAAACTGTCCTCCGCCCTCCCTCTTCTTGGCTAGAGACAGAGAGATGGGAGAGGGGAAAATAAATTAATGGGTTTTTACCTTGCAATTCTAGGTATCTAATTATTTCCCCCATCAACAGGAATGGCTCTATGGAGAGATACTGTTGTATATGGATACAACTCACCATTAAGATCTTTGAAAGAGTTGGTTTTTGGATCATAAGTTGAAGCCAATTGTGACAATGCCATCAGTTTGAAGACACATAAGCGACTTGGTCGCATGATCTTGAGCATGTCTATGCTGAGATTCCAAGTAGTGAAAGTTGCAGTGATCTGCCAAGTGCCAGCTGGAGGGTT